GGACTTTTAAGAATTTGGGCTGGGGCAAGCATTTCTTCCCTCTGACATTAGTAGTGTCTGCTTTTAGTTTTAGAGTTGAAAAGCTATCTTTAAATAGAAGCAGAAAGAAAGCTGACTTCTGTGGGGTGTTAGTTCATAAAGCATTATTATTTCTAGCAACTTTATGAAAATACCTTTTATTTATTCATTGACAAGTCACATCTGTATATAATGTATCATGGTCATAGCTACCCCCAATTTCTTTCTAATCCCCCTGGACACTCACCCACCCCATATCTCCTTCCCACTTTCCTGACTTCTCATCCTCCAGCTTTTAAATCCTCTTCATTCTTCCTTGTTTTTTGAACTGTGTGTGTAAAAATAAAAAAGGGCCTTTCCCACATCCATTCTAGCTCCCAAATAATGACACGAAGACCTATTACATTTATTAATAAGCTTTAAAGCACTATAACTGGGCAGATACTCATCTATTCTAACCCGACTGTGCTGGTCTGGACTATTTCCCAGCCGTGTCGCATTACCTGCCATCTAGCCTCGCCCTGGCTGCTCCTGCTCGGTGCTTGTCCTCATGGCAACCTTCTCCTCCTCCTCTTTCCTTCTCTCAACCTTCTCTCCTGTCCTGCTATTGGCTGTTCAACTCTTTATTAACAAATCAGAGCTGATGGAGAACATTTTTTTACATGTTGGGACAGGAGATTCTTTAATAGTAGTAATGACAATGCCCATGTCTGGACTGCAACCAGATCTCTAGGCATAGAAGTCAGCATCTGAATACACAGTGCACAAAACCATTCCAACAGTGTGTGTGTGTGTGTGTGTGTGTGTGTTGAGTTGTTATAGATGTCTTACTTGGGCTGAGCATTTACCAGTCTCCCCCACTTTTTTTTCCTAGCACCTTAACCAGTTATGAGTTGCTAACTGCTTCCCACTGAAGAAAGTAGTCTCTCTGGACAAGACTGAGATCAGTGCTGTGGGTATAAACATAATTCAGCCTCACTGGGATGTTAGCAAGAATTTTGTCACAGTAATGGAAGGCTGACTACCAGTTTCTCCTTCAGTGCCTTTCTTTTCTTTTGTTGAAGGAATGAGGTCCAGCACAGTTTCCCTACAAACTGAATTTTGCTGATTTCATGTGGTATAATTTTATGTTTTTATTTTACTTTATTTTTATTTTTTTAACCAATCCTTTTCTCACCTGTATCTATTATGAGTTGGTAAATCAGATCTAGAGGTTTGATGCGATTCTGTTTCTATTTTGGGAAAAGAGTTAAAAAAAGAAGAAACACAGATGTTTAAAGGCGACCCTTTGTCTGGTCTATTTTTACCTGGCCTGTTTTCCTATCTAAACCTCCTTCTGAGACTTTGAAAGTTGAGCATTTGCTGAAGACTCCTGCTCGTGTTTGGGGTTCAGACTTCTCCCAGGCATCACAGGGAGGCCAAAACATGACCTGGGTGCCTACCAGACATCTCAAAGTGGACAGGTTCAAGTGGAGTTTTAGGTTGTACCCACCGGTCTGTGGCCCACCTCTCCTCTATCACCAATGGTGGTACTACTTGCTAATCACCCAAATGAAAAGCCAGAGCCGTCTTTGACTACTTTCTTCCACTAACCTCTACCACCAATTCCAGCTGCCCCTGGGTTTGCTTCACCTCGCTTTCCTTATTTCTATGAATAATAACACCGTAAATAAAATATCAGTTACTGAGAAGTGACTGGACAGTTTTAGAAGTCTACAGGCTCAGAAGTGCTGATACCTGCAGTGCCTTTCCCACAAGCAACGCAGACATCATAGTAAATGCTCATCAGGGTCAGGAGCTGATTGTGAGAGGCGTACTGATTTATTCTATTAACCTGTGGCCTTCTGTGTATGCTTACTATTTAAAAATATTCCGATTAAATTTACATTATCATTTACATCGAACTTACTGACTTCTCAGTGCTCTTGGGTTAAAATCCAAATGTCAGACTGGAGAATCCAAGGGTCTCGTTGAGGACTGGCAGCCCCTGACTGCCTTCCACCCTAATGTCCACCCTCACCTGATGACACTCTTCTCCTTGCCTACTCTTCTTCTTCTCTACAGCCTGACAGAATAACTTTTTTTTTTTTTTTTTTTTTTTTGATCTAAACCTTGAGGACTAGAGAGAAGGTCCAGCAGTTCAGGGCCCTTGCTACTCCTGTTCCCAGCACCCATATCAGGTAGCTGACAATCAGCTGCAGCTACAATTCCAAGGATCAGATGTCTGCTTTTGAGCTGTGAGGGCGCCAGCATACACGTGACACAGACACACTCACACATAAATAAAACCAATACATAATCAAAAACAGCAGGTCTGGGGGAGATGAGTTAGGAGTTAAATGCCACTTACCAGCAAGTGTGAGGACTTGAGTTCAGAACCCCAGAACACAGGTAAGTGCCAGGTGGGCATGATATTCCCTGTGGCTCAGAAGACCTGGCTGGGATTCCTGTAGCAAACTGGCTAGATTGGTTAGTGAGCTCTCGGTTTAGCTGAGAGACTCTGCTTCACCAAATAAGGTGGAGCACAATTGAGGAAGACTCCTCAAAACAGCCTTGTGACTCTACACATACGAGCATCCAGACATACGCTGGCCTACACACACATACATACAGACACACACACACACACACACACACACACACACACACACACACTTAAAATCGTCAGAGTATTCAAACCCCAGAATAGAAAAGGAAATTTTAGAAAGTGGAATTAAATATGTACCGTTAAAGGAGAAATTATCATTAAAAAAATCTATTCAAACGCAATTCTCTTTTTGATTTCAAAATTCCCAGTATTTCCACTATACTGAAGACTCTCATGTAACAGTCATTGTTTGATTTAAAGTCTAATTTTGCAGAGTTATATTCTGTATTATCAACAGGACCTTGCTCTGATTTTTAGGACCAATGTGTTTAGGTTTTCCCAGATGCCAATTCAAGGAGGCATTTCCAGTGAGGTGATAGAGCAGTACTCAGTAGTTATGCTTGAACAGTCTTTCCTTTGCTGGTGTTTTTCCTGACTCAAAGGGATAGGATGTATAGAAGTCACGTCAAACCACAAGCAGGGCCACCTAAATCAAATCAAGGAAGCAGGTAAGAGCTGTGTGCCAGGATTCGGAAGGATGCCTCTGGCATGATAGGGCTTTAAAACTGAAAAGTTTCTTAAAGATCATGCAATAGCTAGGCACACACCTTTACTCCCAGCACTCGGAAGGCAGAGGCAGGCGGAGCTCTGAGTTGGAGGCCAGCCTGTTCTACAGAGGAAGTTCTAGGAAAGCCAGGGCTACACAGAAAAACCCCATTTCGAAAAACAAAAACAAAACAGACAAAAACCCAGACCAAAACAACCAACCAAACAAAAGATCACGTGATAATCCAGAGCTTTATTGTTCCGAGTGTCTGGCTATACAGTCCTAGGTAGGACTCACATTCACTATTTTCCTGCTTCTGCAGCCATTTTTTTCTGAGAACACAGCTGTCTCTGGCTGCCAGGACCACAGTTAAGAGCGGGAGATACTGAGGCTCTGATGTGCTGCTTCAACTTTGTGTTCTCAAATACTTCCTAACCTCTTGAGGCAAAATCTTACTTTTGGAAGACCTTAATGGGATTATAAGCTGGATGGTAGTATTATATCAAGATTTGAACACAAGGCCTCACATTACTGACCTATTGTTTTTATTACAGTACGTCCTTTTGTTGTTTTGTTTTTGAGATAGTGTCTCACTATGTATCTCTGGTTGGCCTGGAATTCAGTATGTAGACTAGGCTGGCTTTGGACTCACATACACCCGCCTACCTCTGCCTCTCCAGTTCTGGGACTGAGGACATATACCACTGCATCTGGGCCTCTTATCTTCTGAGGCTGTCTCTTCAAATTATTATTTGCTGTTCCGAGATAACACAAGGTTGTTTTCTATGTATCTAGTTTTTAAAAACCACCTAAGCAACACAGCAGACAACTGGTATATAAGTGAAATAGGATAAATTTAATATTTGCAAGTATCTTACGTCTTTTGGAACGGTAAGCTTAAGTTTGGTTAACGTCTGCACATTGTTTCATTTTAAATTTCTTGAAAACTTGTATAGCCAATGGCATGAGTAAAAGAATACCACTGTCTCCTACGTTTAAAAAGGGTGAACCTTATTTTCCCATCTAAGTTGCATCCTACTGTGAAAAGCCCAGTACTTCCCACCCCCATCCCAGACCTTATCTTCCTGTGCTGTTCTGGCTTACTTCAAGCTTGTGATCCTTCTGCCTCAATCTCCGAGGTGCAGGGATTCCGGCAAGCACCACCACGCACAACAGCAACCATTCTTATTTATTTGTGCATATGTGTGGAAGTCAAGAGGACAACTTGTGGGAACTGGTTCTCTTTACCATGTGGGTTCCTGGCTATCAGGCTTGGTGGCTAAGCCATCTGGGGAGCCGCCTGCCATTCTTACATATGAAGCTTTGCCCTCAGCCTCCAGAGCATGTGAAAATTAAAGTTCCTCCAAGTGCGAGGCTGACAACTGGTTAATCCCTAGGACCATGGACAATCAGCTTCCCTGCCACTCTGGGGCTCATGATGTACTGACCTCAGCTCTCCTTGGCTCCCTCAGTTTCCCTAGCTGCTGTCCCCAAGTCATTCCAAGAAGGGGGGGGGAATGTATCCTTGTTTATCAAAGTGGGCACAGAGGGACTGTTGATGTGGCTCAGTTTGTGGAATGCTTGTCTAAATGCAAGCACAGAAAGGGAGCCCTCTCGGATTGCGATTCCTTCCTTCAATACAAGACCCAGGCATCCTGGAATGGAACTCCACCTCCTTCCTAGGCTCCGAACACAGCCGGGCAGCTCCGAAGGCCGGGCCACGACCTCGGGCAAACTCTACGGGAGGTCGGAGTGGGCTGCCGGGGCGACCCGATGGTGATCCCGAGGTGGGCTGGGCGCCCGCGCTCTCGCGAGACTTCGCTGCGACGGGGCGCGGAGCGGCGGGGACGCCGCGGCGGGCGGTGCTTTCTGGGCTGCCGGGTTTCCACTCCGCGGAGCTCGCCGAGCCCAGTTGTTCCACTTCCGCCGCTCTGCCCGCCGAAGCCGAGGAGCGAGGCCGAGCAAGCCGCCGCCGCCCCGCTGCCGGGGCGCGTCCTCCTCCCTCCCTTCCTCGCCTTTCCTCCGACTCGAGCCGGTCGCCCCGGGCTTCGCGCTGCCGAGCCCGCAGCCCGCAGCGCGGCCGACATGAGCTTCTTGTTGTAAGTAACCCGGCCCTGCCGGCTTTGTTCCGAGGCCCCGTCCTCCGTGTGCCGCCCGGCCCTGCCTCCCCGTCCTGCTGGTACTGCCCGGCCTCTCCCTCTGTTCCCTGTGTGCTGCCCGTGCCGGAGCCCCCAGTGTCCATGCCTGCATTTCTCTACCCGGCTTAGTTCTCGCTCCTCGGTCGGTCGGTCTCTGTCCGTCTGTCTGTTTCTGTCTCTGTCGATGTTGACATAGGTGTGTGTGTGTGTGTGTGTGTGTGTGTGTGTGTGTGTGTGTGTGTGTGTGTTTGCAAGCTCACCTCCCACTCGTGGGTGGGCGTGTGTATTTTCAAGCTTACATTCCACCCTCCCGACTGGCATCCAACGCTTGCCAACCCCCCTCCTGGCTCTGTGTCAGATGCCCGTTGTTGTTTTCTGAATGCCAAGCGTAGGAAGATGGATTGGCAGTCCCAGACCCCTTTAACATCTTCGTTAGGTCCTACGGTTGAGAAATTGAGAGCCAAGTTCCGTAGAGATCACTTCAAAACCGGACGGCTTGCGGGCCTGGATTCCCTGGTGACAGCCTGCGGACTTCAGCACCCCACTTCTTTCTTGATTTGTAGGGGTCATATTTTGTCAGTCACTCTCCAGATAGGATTTGGGTAATGTGTCCTGGTTAATTTAGGTCCGCTGGGCTGTTTTGCCAATCATTTTTTTTAACACCAACTTTAGCCTTACTTTTAGTGCTGGTCATTATTTTATTTATCATTTATTTCACACCAGTTTGAGGTGGAGGTGGGGGTCGGGGTAGAAAAGTGGGACAGCAAGAGTATGGAATCCACAGACAAACTTTAGGTCCCCGGGGTTACACCTGAAGAGTAACTTTTTTGAACGATTTCTTATAATTCACTCAGGTGTTTAGAAAGCTAGTTTAAAACAAGAATAAAAAACAGACTCGTAAAGGCTGTAATCTACCTCATCTGCTCTTTTACTGTGGAGCAAACGGCATTTAGCGATTCCTTTCTGTTCAGATTTCTCTTTCCCTTCTTCCACAAGTTTTAGTCATTGCATTGGTGGCACCCTTATTTTCACATGCTCATGTATAGGATACCATTTCTTTCTAGGTTGTTTAGACAAAGCTTAACTATCGTGAAAGGCTTACCCTGGACAGGCTTTTCTCCTAGGCCCAAGGTCTGGCTTGTGTCAACCTGCCTGACACCTTTGAACTTGTGCATGTATTCTAGGGCTGATTCTGAGTTTGTCAGTGGTAGATGAGAAACTTGGTGGTTTATACAGTAAGTTGTTTCATATTTTACCTTTAACCAACACCCTTAAGCAACTCCCATGCTTAGTGTAATTTTACATTGCTTATATTCTCGTCTCAAGGATTTAAAAGCTATAAAGTAGCTGTAATGTGGATGGCTGCTTCTGACAGGCCTGTGTCTCGGAACTCATAAGCTAAAGTGGTTGAAATGTAGGATAGCCATATTTGGCCGAAACTTGGTGATGTTTGGAAAGGTTCTAGTACTGTTTTCTGAATACATATATACTAGCATCCTGCTTTTAGGTGGTGTGGTGTTAGCTGCAGATATGAGGTAGATTAGACAATATTGCTGTAACTAATGTGAGCATCTAGAGGGTTTGTACTGTTTGGGGAACATTTTTATTTTTTATTTATTTTTATTTTTAATGTACATTGGTGTTCTGCTGAATGTATGTCTGTGTGAGGGTGTCAGATGCCCTGGAACTGGAGTTACAGACAGTTGTGAGCTGCCATGTGGGTGCTGGGGATTGAACCCAGGTTTTCTGGAAGAACAGCCAGTGCTCTTAACTGCTGAGCCATGTCTCCAGTCCCGCCCTCCCCCAGGGGAATGATTTTTTTTAGCAAGGTCACAAATAGATGTTAATACACTCTCAACAGGTTTTGCCCATCAGTTTAATAGTCCAAAAAAGTTAATCTGGAGGGAAGTTAATCTGGTGGCACATACCTTTAATCCCAGTACTCGGGAGGCAGAGTCAGGTAGATTTCTGTGAGTTCAAGTTAAGCCTGGTCTACTTAGAGGGTTACAGGCAAGCCAAGGGTAATAGTGAAACCCTGTCTATAAAACAAACAAAATTTAATTCAGCAAATTTTATTTGATGATTTCTTGAGTATTATACAGGGGAAGCAGAAAAAGAAAGAAAAATTGAGTTAAATACGGATATTTTCTGGTTCTTGGAACCTGTTTGGGAAGGCTACTGTAAGTAGAAAAAGCAGAGGAAAGAGGGCAGCGAGAGATAGGATTAAAACATGATGAGTCATGTCTGAGAAGGAAAGCCTAATTGATGAAAAACCTCACAACTTTCCTGTGCTCCAGCATGGTGCAGACATTGAGTATCACGTATGATAAGATGGACAAGCTTCCTGCTCAGTGGCACTTAAGTTTCAGGCAGTGACCACAGTATTAAATGTCAGAAATCCCTTAGTATGAAAGAAGAGCTAAGTGCTGTGGGTGGGGAAGGAGGTGGTCGGGGGTGATCCTGGTGGGTGCACAGTCTTCCACAGTGATAACCTTTGGGTAACTTTTGCATAGATGCACAGGATACACTTTCCTCACCTTATGTGAAAAGACTGGCTAGACTGTGGTGGTGCTTCACACTGCGTGTCTGCAATTTAGACCAAACCCCCAGATGCTGATTATAGGAAGTTACGTTAGCATTGTAGACGCAAGTCCTTAAGTGCCTATGTGGAGATGTGGCTACTCCAGAGACAGTAGACGGTAAATCAGAGTCATCTCTAATGGGCATAGTACACTCCTGAAGTCCTGAAGCCAAGGAAGCATTTTGTTTCGAGGTTTATGAAAAAAATTTGGGTGATATTTAATGAAAGGTTAGTAAGAGTTTTCTAAGAAAGAAAGGGAAAATAGTACATTTTACTTCTTAGTAAATGGGCTTTTTTCAGTGAGAGCCTGTTCCTTATTTTACTGGAGGAATAAAATCACAATTACCAGGTTAGGATTGCTGGTCCCATCCTTGGAACACAGGTCTCTTTACTTAACAGTTTGGTCCCCCTCCCTTGATATTTTATATATGTAAATGCAGAGAAATTAGGATAAACATGATTCTTGGTAATCATCAAAAAGTATGTTGAGTGTTCTCTTTGTTTCTAGCTTTTTAAAATTCTTTTGAGAAATAATGAAAAAAATGAAAGTATAATTTCATAATGTAAAGCTTTTTGATGGAGATAAAGCAATGCAGTTAACTGGAACAAAGGTGTTTTGGAATGTGAATGAGGGGCTGGAGAGATGGCTCAGAGGTTAAGAGCACTGGTTGTTCTTCCAAAGGTCCTGAGTTCAATTCCCAGCAACCACATGATGGCTCACAAGCATCTATAACAAGATCTGGTGCCCTCTTCTGGTGTGCAGGCAGAATACCATATAAATAATAAATATTAAAAAAAAATGCTGTTAAAAAATTAAGTCAATATTAAAAAAAAAAAGATGTGAAAAAGTCGGAATGTGAATGAATATGTCAGTCTATTTATATATAGGCAAAACAAAAATGGTTTGGGAATGGAAGAAAGAAAGGAAGAAAATACATATTAATTACTATGCTGGGTACCTTCCATTTTTCTTTTGTAACAAGAAAAATTTAAGAAAAGAGACCCAGCTTTTCTTTTTGTTTGTTTTGTTTTTTGAGGCAGGGTTTATTTATGTGACCCTGGCTGTCCTGGAACTCACTCTGTAGATCAGGTTGGCCTTGAACTCAGAGAACCACCTGCCCCTGGCTCCTGAGTATTCTATCAGTGACCTAAATCCCCAGCCTGTATAACATGTATTTTTTAAAAGTTGTTTTTCAAGTCGGATCTGTTTTCCAGAACAGTCAGTGATAGCAGGTATTCCTTGTGTATTTGTAGAATTCTTTCCTAAGGATCCCCCACTAACACAGAGAGAAGACAAAGGAGAAACTTTAAAACAATATTATAACTCATTCTTAGGTTAGTATTAAAATAGTTTCCGGGAGATATTACAAAACAAGAAAAGAAAGAAAATTCCTGGTGGGCATGCTGGTGCGTGTCTGTAATCTCTGGGAAGCAGGAGGATTGCCAGTTTGAGGCCACCCTGTGGTGTAATAGTGAGACCCTGCCTCAAAAAGTTAAAGAGTATAATTTACAACTAGAACTTCTCAGATAACCATAGTATGTATTTTGGGTTATAATTTCTGTCACATCATACAGATTGATCACTTATGACTGGCATGTTAACAAATCCTTCCCGTATATAGACAGGCTCTTCATGTGTCAGTTTCTTAGTGATGGTGCATAGACTTTTGAGCCAATGAAATGGCTGAGCTGGTTAAGCGTGTGCATGCAAGCTGGATGAGCAGAATTTGACCAGAGTCTATCTATTAAGGGTTTCTCCACCCCATAATTGCATTGTCCTGGGAGCAGCCCTTTAGCAAATTAGCCTTTCAGGGGATACTGGCCATGTTCAACTATAGCACTAATGAGCATAAGATCATTTTTATAATATCTCTAATTCGATAGTAAGCTGTAAAAATTACAGAAAAAATGTAATTAGAACTCTAGCAATCATTATAGCAATAATTAAGTATTATAACAACAATTACAAATTATAGCTGTAAAATCTTTTCATTTGCTGAATTGTTTAACATTTTATTTTAGCCAGGCATGGTGGTATAAACCTTTAATCTCAGTACTCGGGAAGCAGAGGCAGGTGGATCACTGAGTTGGAAGCTAGCATGGTCTACAGAGTGAGTTCCAGGATAGCCAGGCTACACAGAGAAACCCTGCCTTGAAAAAAAAAAATCAAACAAACGAAAAATTTTATTTTAAAAGTTTCCATCTTTGGAGAGACTGCACAGAGTTTCTAGATGTCCTCATCTAGAGATCCCATCAGTAACTTTAACTTCTTAGAGTAACACACAGACACAGACACACACCTGCACACACAGTTCTATGTCTGCAGTATTCTCTCAATCCCCTGTATTGCTGGAGATCAAACCCAGTGGTTGATCAAGAAGCTCAATTTCCAGCCCCACATTTTCTAACTAAAATATTTCTTCAGTCTTCATTGGTTACTATTGGGGGTTGGTCTACTGCTATGTATTCCGATGTTAATTTTTGACCCTCAAAGATCTTGACCCTGCTCAGAGGAGCACTTTCTCATGTACACCTGCCCTTGTGTAAACCTTGCTCCACCTAATTTAAAGCTGATTGGTTAATAAAAAATGCCGAAGCTTGGAATTTGGCAGAGGAAAGAGGGGAAGAGTTTAGGGTCCACAAGCCTTGGTGGAGGGACCACGAGATGACAGGATCGGAGGAGAAGGCAACAAAATGGACTGGCATCATCGGTTAGCGTGGGAAAGGAGCACATGGCTGGGTCAGCATGGATGGAGGAGTTGGAGAACAGTAATTAGCATTTTGGGACTGTGGATGGGAGGTCGCTCGAGATAGGGTTTGAGAGGGTCAGTTTAGAGAATTATCTTCAGTGCCCCAGATAAAGTCTATTTTATAAAGGACAACAGGTTCTATGTCTTTATTGGATTGATAATGGGTTAGAAAATACCGCTTAAATGGTTATACCTAATAACAAACATTTATTAGGCTCTACCTTTTAAATTTAGCATAACACATGACCTTTACCATTTTTGTAGAATATCCCTTATTTTCAGTTTCTCTGATGTTTGCCTGCCTCTGTTTCCTGATAGGATTAAAGGTGTGTGCCAGCACCACCTGGCTATTACTGGTGGTTTTAATTTTGGTGTTTTAATTTGGTTAAATTGCCTACCTGTAAATGTTTTTATTTCCTCAGATGAGAAGATGAGATGAGAGCTGTACCCAAGCTTTACAAATACATAGCTTGGGCTGAGCCCCCAACATTTCATCTAATATCCCTTAGGCCTAGGCCTGGAAGCTTCTAGCTTCCATACAATCTAATCTTTAGCCTGGACCTTGAAGGCTTTAGCTTGCAGCCTCTATCTGCTAACATAGGCCTAGAATGTTTCAGCCTCTGAGACTTATTGCTGAATAGCTCACCCTTTTTCTAGTTCTTTCAGAACTCTGACTGGCTGGTTGAACTCAGCTGTTCTGGCTCAAAACTCTTCTCCAGGTTGACTGATTCAAACTAGCTTCTCTCTGAATTGCTGTGCTTGGAAAAAACTTCCTCTGAACTCTACTAACTGAACTGCACAAACTGAGCTACACTTAAGTGTACTGTACCCCCAAACTCTACTGTACTGTCCATGAATCCTCTTGCTCTTCCGTGCTGCTCTTAAGTAGCTTCTCTTTCCTGTCTTTTCTCGTGAGGGTCCTGTCTGACTCATTCTGGCAAATCTGTCTGATTCATCACTTTGTCTGCCCCGAAAGTAGATATTATTGTTTGGGTTTAAAGGTGTATACTAAATTCCAGCCAGAGGAATTAAAGGTGTCCTGTGTCTATATTCCAGCCAGTGGGATTAAAAGTTTGTACTAAAGGCATGTCTGTATTCCAGCTGGGTCACACAAGCCATGTTACTGGATTAAAATTCCTTAACATCTATCAGAATCCTCCACTGTTGTTTTACCTTTTTGTTCCTCATAATTAACATTTTGTGTAAGTATTTTGATTCTATGTAACTGGTTCAGTCTCCATTCCAGCTTGTTCTAGCTTGTTATCTAAGTTCTTATTATTTTTAAAAGATTCATTTATGTATATGAATATTCGGTCTATGCACACCAGAACCAGGAATCAGATTTCATTACAGATGGTTATGAGCCACCAAGTGGGTGCTGGGAATTGAACTCAGGACCTCTGGAAGAGCAGCCTGTGCTCTTAACTGCCAAGCCATCTTTCCAGCCCCATCTAAATTATTTTTATAATAATTGCAAGAGTTCTAATTCTCTCATCACTTGCAAATTTACTTAAGTTTTATTGTAAGGAAAACTCAGCTCGTATTAAGAGATGGATGTTTTGTCCATCTAAAGGTGATAATTGAAATACGATCACCAAGATATAGCTGCATGCATATTAGAAGGTGAGACCTGTGGGAGATGAGTAGTGCTGTTATGGCAGGTCTGAGCAGTCTTGCTTTTCTCTTACCACACAGTCTGTCTGCCACTTCCGTTACTACTGAGCTGTTCCTAGTGTATTCACTGTAAGATAATACAGGGATGATACAGGCTGGGGAGGTGGCCTTATGGTTAAGAGTGTGAGGACCTGACTTGAAATCCCTAGCAGTCCCTGTAAAAACCTAGCGGAGAAGTGTGGAAACGACTGAACTCTCTAGCTAGCCTGCCTAGGCGATGATGCAGTGATTGAACAGGACACTCCAAATCCCCCTGTGGTCCCTGCACATGCACACCTATACACACATGTTCTCAAGCACACATACACCATGCATACAACAGACACAAGATAATCTAGGTAAATGGATTCTTAGTGTTCTTCAGTCAGGATCTGAAACTACTATCACTAACTTTGGCGCTCAGATTGTCCCAGTTTTTATTAGTGAAAACCCTATTCATGCTGGTTTCTGTGTCCTTTAACTTATGCCGATCTCATTTTTGAAATACATCCAGACACAGGATGTATTTGAGCATATCAGTCATACTAACTACCTGCTTAAACCAGAATTCTATGTTAAGATTGATTGGAAATGTGTCCTATCATTGTGTGTAGAACATTTAGCTTCCTTTCACCTGGCTCTTGGATTTTTCTGTTTATTGATATAAAAGTGTGTCTACATCTTATAAGAGAAAATACTTCTGTATTAAAATGAAAAACAGGGTTGAATAAGAAGTAAAAATAAAGCCCGGCGGTTGTCCCACATGTCTTTTAATCCTACCCTCAGGTAGAGGCAGGCAGATCTCTGAATTTGAGCCCGCCCTGGTCTATAAAGAGAGTTCCAGGACAGCCAGGGCTATACAGAGAATCCCTGTCTCAAAAACAAACAAACAACAACAACAACAAAAAACAAAATAAATAAAAAAATAAAATTATTAATATTTATTATGGAAGTGCTTTTTTTTTTTTTTAGAGTCTAGTCTATAATCCAGAGTGATTAGTTTACTGTGGAGAGCTGCATTAGTTGCAGCTGAAAGTTCTTAGCTCCTCCTGAGTTAAATTAGAGAACGTAGAGGAATTTTTTATGTATTTTGGGTAGATATCATAGTCAAAACAGTAACTATGTTATTGCTAGGATTAATGTAGCTAGTACAGTTTAGGTTTGGGGGTTGTAATTCCTATTTTTTGTTATTTAATATGACTTACTTAATGCAGAAATAAAATATAAATTCCATTGATAGTATTTATTTAAATAATCAAGTATTATGCCCCTTTCCCTTCTTTTTTTTTTTCATAGTGGTAGTCGCTCTTCTAAAACTTTTAAACCAAAGAAGAACATCCCAGAGGGGTCTCACCAGTATGAGCTCTTAAAGCATGCAGAGGCCACACTTGGCAGTGGCAACCTCCGGATGGCTGTCATGCTTCCTGAGGGAGAGGATCTAAACGAGTGGGTTGCAGTTAACAGTAAGTAGCCCTTCTGTTTCTCAGCAGACAATATAGTGATGATGTCACAGTCCAGCTTTAGTCTTTGTTATTTTATGAAATGTCAATAGAATGTTACTGTCACACTATTTCTTAATTATGTGATTAATCAATATATGATTATAGTTTTGGACTACAACAGTTCTGTTATTAAAAATAAAATGGTTTGTGTTTTTTATTTTATTGGTGAGAGCCAACTTACCTATAAGATATCTCAAAGATAATCAGAATAAATTGGCCATGTATATGTACATTATTACAGGGTTTCACTGTGTAGCCCTGGCTGGTACAGAACTCACTGTAGATTAGGCTGGTCTTTAATTTAGAGAGATCAACCTGTCTCCCAATTGCTGGGATTAAAGGTGTGTGCTAACATGCCCTGCTCTGCTTGGCCCCTCCTGCCCCCTCCTCTTCCCTCCTATCTTCTCCTATTACCTCCCTTCCTTTCTGCTCTTCTCTCTTCTTCCTTTTAGCACTTGTTTGTGTGTTTGTACCTTTGAGAACTCAGTTATTAATTTTTTTAGTTATTTGAATGTTTATACATTTATTTGTGTGTGTGTGTGCGCGTGCACGCATGTACATGTATGTGTTAATGTGTGTGGGTGGGTACACATGCCACATCAAATATGTGAGTCCTGAGGATTGAACTCAGGTTGTCAGGCTTGGTGGCAGGAATGCTTACCCACCGAGTCATTTTGCCAGCATGTGTATGCTAATTAAATATTAAGAATGGCTGTGTAGAAAGAACCCTGTGTTGTAGAGCACAAGATACTGTCTTAAGTGTAGAAGCAGACAATTCCTTTCTGTCTGTATTTTCTCTGTTGCTATGACAGTGTCTGTGTATTGGAATAGCAGCCGATGTCCCCTGGCCATTGCATGCACACACAGACACTTTCAATGTGTTGGGTATTCTTGGCTTTTTACAATCTGAAGTAAGTTTTTAGCTAGGGGGTGGCTTTAGAATGACAACCCGTTATTTAAATTTATGATTTCATTATTACCAACATTTTTCTATAGAATTTTATGATTATCTAGAAACTTTTTTGTGAGGGGGCATTTTAAATTATTACATTTTCTGTGTGTTGTCTTTTCTTACTCACATACAGTTCTTTGTATATTTTATATATGCATTTTATGAGGGTTGCCAATAATTTTTAACACTGTCTTCTTTCTCTTTATTACCAGCTCCTAATTTTAGTATACTCAACAGTTGAGGCTTTGGTGTGAGCTTTCCACCTGCTTTTGTAAGGAAGAGGAACCTGGGATTCTTCTTAAATAGAGTCAGAGTGATTTCTTTTTTTAATATTTTATTTTACTTATAACGGACATTTGCTTTGCAGCTGTGGATTTTTTCAATCAAATCAATATGCTTTATGGAACCATCACAGACTTCTGTACAGAGGAGAGCTGTCCGGTGATGTCAGCTGGACCAAAGTAAGATTCAGTTAATGATCAGTTTTCCTTGTCACTGTCACTCTTCGATGAGAAGGAAGTGCCTGGCCATGCATCAGGCCTGTGCCTGATCCACTTGTTTCTGCCTTGCCTTCCAGCTGCTTCCTGCCTTTCCTCTCCTTATACCCTTTCTTTCCCCATCCACCTGAACCAGCTTCCTGGAAGCTCCTTGCCAGTCACTCTATTTCTTCTGGAAAGTTGCCTCATCTATTCTTCTTGGACATTTTTCTTTTTTTTTTCTTCTCTTTCTTTCTTTTGTAATTGCTTTCTCTCTCTCTCTCTTTTTTTTTTTTTAACCTTATGTTAATATTTTAAAATGTCTCACCCTTGTTACAGACCCAGCTGAACATTTCTTTCCCTTTGAAACTGCCTAGGATTCTTTAGTGTAGATGTGCTCTTTCTGTTTAAGTTTTTATTTTGAAAGGATTGTTGTTAATTTGTGCGTGTGCGTGCGTGTGCGTAAGTGCATGCAAGTGCCCACAGTGGCCAGAGATGTCCTGCAGCTGCCTGAAGTCGGAGCTTATCTTGGGTCCTTTGAAAGAGCTTTGCATGCTCCATGCAGCTGAGGCATCTCTCCAGTCCTAGTGGCTTTACTTTTATAATGATTATATTTTCATTATGTTGTGTTTATCCTGTGATACTGTGCGTGTGTGTTCGTGTGCGCATGTATCAAATCTGGGGTTTCAAGTATGCCACTCAAATTCTTTTTTTGTTTGATTTTGGTTTTTCAAGATAGGGTTTCTCTGTGTAACCTTGGCTGTGTGGACCATGCTGGCCTTGAACTCATAGAGATCTACCTGTGTGCTCCCTGAGTGCTGGGATCATAGGTGTGTGTCACAGTGCCAGGCTTAGATCTTTTCTGTTAGAATTGTATCTGGTGATTTTCTCTTCTCAAGGAACTCCTTATGATGGAGAACTGCCCTTTATGGAACTTTTGTTGTTGCTTTTTGAGATAGTTTCGATGAAGCCGGATTGGTCCTGGAACTCCTAGGTAGACCAGGCTGGCCTTGGGCTCACAGAGATGGGCCTGCCTCTGTCCTCCCCAGTTCTGGAATTAACTACTATTCCCGAACCTCTGTAGATTTTTAATTGAATTGCCTTTCTTTATTAAATTTGTTTTTAAATTATTTAATTATCCTTTGGCTAAATATTGTGGTTTAGACACAGGATAGTGTCTTAGTTTTATCAAGTTTCTTACTGTAAAAGGGCATTAGAGAAATGAAATTTCCTTTTATTACATAATTCTTATCGGTGTTATTGGTGTTCAGATGTTTTACATTTCATGTTAAAATGGATGGTTTTAATTTTACTACACATGCTTTATCTGCTTTGGGGAAAAAGTAGTTCTGCTTTCTAAAAAAAGCAGATTCCTCTGTAGCATATTGCCTGCCCACTTGCTCCTCTCTCTCTTTTTCCTTTGAAAAATAAGACTTCGTTTTACCTATGTGACCCAGGTAGGCAGTAGACTAGAATTTTCCTGAGTCTGCTTCCTCTGTTAGGATCATAGCTGTGCTCACTGTGCCCAGCTCTTTTTGTTAGGGCATTTTAGCCTGTCATGGTGGTGAAGGTATGGAGATAGGTTGACGCTGGGCAGTGAGAGCTTACAGAGGATCCTTAGTGAGATCCTTACTAAAGGATCAGGAGGGATACTGGAGGATCAGAAGGCAAGACAGCTCTCACTGTAACCTTCAAGGTCAGTCCCCAGTGGTATACCAGCACCTGCTTGTAAAAGGTTCCACAGTCAGCCCACACCTAAGCCTGTGGTGCGGCTCAAACTAAAACCATATCTTGATCTTAATTATAAACATAACAAAGAAAAGATCAGGAAGTGGAGCGAGGTGGCACACACTTATAATTCCAGCAAGGGGGGTTGGGAGACAGGCTGATCTCTGTGAGTTCGAGGCCAGTCTTGTTCACAAAGTGAGTCCAGTATAGCCAAGGCTACACAAGGCTTTTCCTGTCTTGGAGAAAAAAAAAGAAAAGAAAAAATTAGAATCTTAGGTTTAAGCAAGATACAGTTGTTTCACTTTTTGCGAGTGTTAGGATACTGACAGTTGAGATTATTTTTAAAGCTTCAGGACGCTGTATATGAATCTTTGATTTACTATGTTTGCTTTTGTTTTTTTTTGTGGAAGTGAATGAACACCTGAGAATCTACCAAGTTAACAAACATGACTGTGAAGAAAGACTTTGAAATGTCTTACTGTAGAGAAAGAATATGCATGCCTTTTGTTTCCTTTTTTAAAATGCATTTTTATTTTATGTGCATTGGTGTTTTGCCTGCATGTATGTCTGTGTGAGGTCCAGGTCCTCTCTAACTAGATTTACAGATAGTTGTGAACTGCCATGTGGGTGCTGACAGTTGAATCCAGACCCTCTGAAAGAGCAGCCGGTGCTCTTAACCACTGCGCCTCTCTCCAGCTCATCCTTTTTTTCTTAAAGATTCATTTACTTGTTTATTATTTTATGTACATGTGTGCACCATGTGCATAAAGGAGCTCCCAGAGGCCAGGAGAGGGTATCAGATCCCCTAGAGCTAGAGTTACAGGTAGCTGCGAATTGCCATGTGAGTGCTGGAAACTGAACCCCAGTCCTTTGTAGGAGCAATAAGCACACGTAACTGGTGAGTCACCTCTCCAGCCCGAAGTTCATGTTTTTTAAGTGAAAAGTAAAGAAGGTAAGGCCTAGTTACAGCCCCCATCTGTCAAGAGGGTCATAGAAGAATAAACAGGCTTAAAACTGCACTGAGTACTTAAACTTTATAACAGAAAGTGAAAGTGATTAATCACAGCAGGGTACCAGTTAGGTGCTTGGGAATGTCTTCTTTTTGAGGTTTCACACTGCATTTGATGGTCTTCTGTGCTAAAAAATGATAAGGCTCTGGTTCTACACACATTTGTCAGGGCATATCGCTGCTTGGGGTAGTTCTGGGTTATTATTAAGGTGTGGATTTGATAAATGGAAAGCATCCTCATCTGTATATTGAAGATTACTATTTTTCTGTTATATTTTTATTTTCTTTGTTAGGCTAACTGGTCTATTCTTCATTGAGGTCAAACTCTGCAGAAAAGGTTAAAAACAGTTGATTAAAAAAAGTGAAGTAGCAGAAGAAATGGAAACTAAAAATCTAAATGACAATTCGTTTATAGATTTCTATATTTTGGAATTTTAGCTATGTACTTAGTTTTTTAGAGCTATGTTGATGGACATGTTTATTGTACAGTTTGTAAGGAAAGTCTTATCTTAAAAATAAGGGTGTGTGTGTGTGTGTGAGAGAGAGAGAGAGAGACTATGAAATGAATTGTTTAAGAAAATGACTTGAGGGTTTGGCCTGAATACAAATCAAGCAGCTTGTTTTATATTTGCATTTATAGGTAGATCTTTCAAGGGTTAGTTGTTCACTTTAGACAGGCAGTTCATACATATTTTTACTTATACATTTATGGGCATAGATTCTACTAATCTTGTTTTTCAGAGTAGTGGAAGTGCATTTCATTTTAGTGTTTCTTGTTCTTGACCTTGTGTTTCTCACATGATAGTTGCATATTAGATGTTTTTTAAATCAAAGGGATATTAATGTCCAAAAGATGAGCACTTTTGAGTTGCAAGTTTCCTTTTAGAGTGTGTTAATTCCTCATCCAAAAGTACTATTTTTTAAATGTAGGAGTGCTCACTCTGCATGTACACCTGCATGTCAGAAGATGGCGTCAGATCCCTTTATAGATGGTCTTGAACCAGCATGTGGTTGCTGGGAATTGAACTCAGGACCTCTGGAAGAGCAGCAGCCAGTGTTCTTAACTGCTGAGCTATCTCAGCCACCCACTGAACCATTTTTATTTATATTAGTTTTACTTTGACTTTTCTGCTTTCTATATACTTAACCCCAAATTTAAAGCTCCCAGGTAAAAAGAATTGCTCTGCATTTTATGTAAGGAAGAAAAACAACTGTGAAGTTCAAAGAATGCCATCATAGAACAGAGAAGTAAGTTCTCCTGCTTCAACAATATATATTATTCTACTCTGTATTAGAGAGCTCTTTAAGAAAATGTAGGGGCTGCGCATGGTAGCCCACGCTTTAACCCCAGCATTTGGGACACAGAGACAGTGGATCCGGTTCAAGCCAGCCTGGATTACATAGTGATAGACTGTCTTTAAAAAAAATAAATAAATGAAAGGAAAAAAGAAAGAAAGGAAAAGAGAAAATCAGACAGGTGAGGAAAACATCTAAATAGAAGATGAGTTTGATGTGATTCCTTAGTTTGGATTGTGGTAAATGCAAAACAGGCTACTGATAATTGAAAAATGTGTACTTACTTGGAAGAACAGATTGTTTAGAATATGTTTGTATATATTCATTTTATATATACATATAAATGTATGTATGTGCATGTTTATACCTCTCTTTTGATGTGTTTTCTATCTTTCCATTCAGATATGAGTATCACTGGGCAGATGGAACAAACATAAAAAAGCCCATTAAGTGCTCTGCACCAAAGTATATTGATTACCTGATGACTTGGGTTCAGGACCAGCTGGATGATGAGACATTATTTCCATCAAAAATTGGTAAAATTATTTTGTGTAATGGGATAAATTATGGAGTACTGAATTTTACCTTTCTGCAGTTGCTCTGTCCCTTCCTGCCCTACCCAGGAGTAGTTTCATGGGACTGTGTTGATGAGCTTGTGTGTCAGGCAGTTTCTAAAAAGCACAGGAGATTGTTAGCCCAGTCATGACAAAAGCAAGCTGTCTCATGGAAATTGATTTTTTTCCTACCCCTGCCCCTAGTGTTTTAATTGAAAGGTTAGATAGTAGAAAATAAGTGATCTACTTCTTGACTTAATTTATTATTTGCTAAAATTTTTGTGATATTTCAGATTAAAATATTACTAACATTATAATCAAAGGTTTTTAAAAATGTTTTATTTATTATTTATGCAGTATTCTGTATGTATTTATGCCAGCAGGCCAGAAGAGGGCACCAGATCTCATTATTGATGGTTATGGGCCACCATGTGGTTGTTGGGAATTGAACTCAGGACCTTTGGAAGAACAGCCAGTTCTCTTAACCTCTGAGCCATCTCTCCAGTCCCCAAAGAGGGTTTTTTGAGTGTGTGTTTGGGTATATTTGAGTCATTCATCTCCCCCCTCCCCTGCAACCAGACAGGGTTTTTTTATGTAGCTCTGGCTGTCCTAGAACTCGCTTTCTAGAGCAGGCTGGCCTGAAACTCACAGGGATCCACCTGCCTCTGCTTCCTTAGTACTGAGATCAAAGGCATGTGCCACCAAGTCTAGCTCCTTTTTAACATTAAAAATAAATAAATAAATAAACAAACAAACAAATAAATAAATAAGGAACTGTAAACAGGTAGTAGTTTTCCTTCTCAGTAGAAAGTTCCACATGGAGGTTTACTATTGTTCTGGAGTCAGAGCAAGTTACCACATCAATCATTTCTAATTTTATGCATTTCAAGAGCATTCTTGTGTTCCTTTCATACTAAATTTGTTAAGGATACTTCCTTGTAATTTTAAGTGATGAACAAATGAGGTTATACTATAGGAAGGTAATAGAATCTGGTCTACCTTATAAGAAAAGTTAATGGATAATAAGACAGCCAGTGATACTTGACACACGTTTATTTTCCCTTCCTCCAGTTTGTTTGGCTTATATATAATGTTATGTTTATGATAAAGAAGAGTGTGATTTTTATGGCTCATAAAATTATTCTTAAAAGCTGGGTGTGGTGGTACACACCTTTAATCCCAGCAAGTGTAAGGCAGACACAGGCAAAAAACAAAAACCCTGTGAATTCGAGGCTAGCCTCGTCTACAAAGCGAGTTTCAGGACAGCCAGGGCCACGCCCAGAGGAACTCTGTCTCGAACAAACCAAAAAAATAAAAATTATTCTTAAAGAGTTTGCCTTGTTCTTCTGTTTTAAGGTAGGGTCTCCCTCTCTGTAGCTCAGGCTGACACCAAGCCAGTGGTAATCCTGGCTGAGCCTGCTGGGTGTGGCTCCAGAGAAGCACTGCCATAGGTCACATTGATTTTGAAATCAAGATGTGAGAAAAAAACAGACTTGAGGGTTTGGCCTGAGTAATTTGTTTGGTGTACTTGTTTTTAAAGATAAATCTATCAAGTCTAACGTGTAGCAATTAGACAGTTCGTATGTGGTTTTACCTTTTTAAAATACTTGCAACTATGATTTCTGAAAAAAAAAAAAATGGTTTAACAGTTTGCCCTTAGAGTATTGTTAAATAACTTTTGGCTAACATTGTATGCTTTCAGTAGAGCATTGATCTCTGAAATCTTAGGTTTTCTTGGATCTTAGGTCTTTCTTGTTTGTGTTTTTCAGGTTTTCCTAGTAAAGAGACCATTGCTAATTGTTTTCATGCAGTGCTGTGTCCTGTTAGTCTCTGTAGTCTAGAATATGTGGACTTCAGTCTTTTTTCATCTATCATGACTTTGATATTTTAGAATGTCCTTTGGTTGTGGTGTGTTTGTTTCCTTGTATTTTTTATTGGTGTTAAATGGGCAATAGACTATGTTACTGAGGGAGTAGTACCAGTGTTTGGTTATCTTGCCAACATTCAGAATACAGCATTTTGTCTTCTTCCTTTTTAAAAATGTACTTACAACTGTTGTGTTTATGTGTGTGTGCATGTGTGTGTCTGGGATCAACTTTGTGAAACCTGTTCCCTCCTTCAGCCTTAATAAGCTTTCTGGGGATTAAATGCAGGTTACTGGACTCACCCAACTCACCCAATAAGTGCTTTTACTTGCTAACTGTTTTGGCCCAGATTTTTTTTTTTTTTTCAAGACAGGTTTTTCTCTGAGTGTCCTGGGTATCCTGGGCTCACCTTGCTCAATCTTACAGTGATCATCTGCCTCTGCTTCCCTGGTGCAGGGATTAAAGGTGGGCACCACCATGCCTGGAGTGGCCCAAATGGGTATTAAAATTTTAAAGTTGTATATATTTGTTATATAGTATGATGCTAGTGTGTGTATATACATACAGCTTTTATAGTAAAAAACTTGCATCATGTTACAGATCATGTTATAGTTAAGCCATTTTATTTTGTTGTGAAAGAAGCTATAAATACCCAACTAATAAAAAATTATAGTGGTGTTAAATGGGCAATAGTATTCAATAATACTTATTCAATAGTCTTATAATATTCAATATAATTTATTATTATTAATTTTATTCTCATACTTTATATTATATCTTTAGAGTTGATTACCTTGAATCTTTGCTATAGATCTATTTCTGACCTACATTATCTCATATCCTGTCCTCTTACCTTGGTAACCATGGTTTTATTCTCTATGTATTTCATTTTCTTTTTCACTCAAAATACAAGTAAGATCAAAGAATAGTTTTTTTGGGGTCTGGTATGCACTTAGGATAATATCCTTCCAAGTGCAGATCTCATACTTATTTTTCTTTTTGCTTTGAGACAGGGTCTTACTATGAATCCCAGGCTAGTCTTGAACTCACTGTTACCCTGTCTCAGCCCTCTGAGGTCCTGAAATTGCTGATACATGTCACTATACCTGGATCAGAATCTCCTTAAGGACAAGTGTATGTGTCTGTCTGTCTGTGTGTGTGTCCGTGTTTGTGTATCAGTCTCTGTGTGTGTGTCTGGGTATGTTTGTGTGTCTGTCTGTGTGTGTGTCTGATACATTAAAAGCATTTTAAACATAAATGAAATGGTTAATACATTATTTATGTTAGCAGATAATTGTGTAGTGCTTACTGTTAACAAACCTCACAACCTGGATGTGATTTTAGCTTCACTACCTCTTGGGTATTTATTGTAAAGTGGCAGTATGTTAGAGGTTCAGTATGCCGTAAAGAAGACTCATTCTAGCAGGGTGTGGGTGCATGCCTGTAATTCCTGCACTCCCGAGGCAGAGCCGGGTGGATCTCTAAGTTGGAGGCCATGCTGGTCTACAGAGTGAGTTTCAGGTCAGCCAGGACTACACAGAGACCTATCTTGAATGACGAAAAGAAAAACAAAAAGACCGAAGAAGAATCATTCATATTTAAAAGATGCTTTGGAGTTTACTTTCATTACATGCTTTCATTATTTACTTTCATTGATTATTTCACAATTTCATGATGCTATATAATGTCAAATCATGCTGCTCTGTGCTCTTTTCTTATTAACATAGGGATGGTTGTTATCTCTTCACTAGGTGTTCCATTCCCGAAGAATTTCATGTCAGTGGCAAAAACAATACTCAAACGACTCTTTAGAGTTTATGCTCACATTTATCATCAACATTTTGACCCTGTGATCCAGCTTCAGGAGGAAGCACATCTCAATACATCTTTCAAGCACTTTATTTTTTTTGTTCAGGTAGGTTGACTCATGAGGCTTTGTGCCTCATGTTTATTTTTAGGATTTTGTGAATATACAAAATAAATGTTGCATATATACTGTCAGGACATAACTTATCATCTCTCTCTAGTCAGTATTCTGTTTTATACTCTCCAAAATGACAATGACAAGCCTCATTAATCTCCCAGTTGATGGTAGGCAAGCCTAAAACAGTTCTAAGATGCCTTGCCTTGCTTGGACCGCTTTAGTGTCCTGGCCATGTGAAGGGGCTACATAAGAAACCTGAATAGAGAGTCAGGTATGGTGGTACTCGCTTATAATCTTGGCACTTGAAGATGAAGCCTAAGGATTATGACTTCAAAGCCAGCCTGCTACTTTGTAACCTCAGGCTGTTGTGGGCCATAAGATCCTGTCTTAACAAACAAACAGAAAATGGATAGACAACATTCAAAACCAACAGAAGCAAACAACAAGCAAAAGCCACCCAAAGTAGGGGAAAAAAGGAATTTGAATCTGAACTAAAATTGGGTGGGTGGTGGCATGTCATGAACTTGGTCTCAGATATTTTAGCATTCTTTTCCTAAAACTCTGCTGTAAGAAAAGTCTGATTGTTATTAGTAAATTTTTTTCTGGACATATGCTTTGAATATCACATCCTTGTTTCCCATTTCTTTAAAAAACCATTTTCTAAGTAGTTTTAAAGCTAATGACTCTCCGTCATGTTTGAGGAAGGAAAGGGTCAGAGTGATCTAGAGGTTCCTTTGAGTTGGAACTGGATTTGCTAGTTGATTTCCCCTTTCCTTCATCCTCAGAGAGCTGGCCTTAGAAATGTAAACTAATAAGCCAGGTTGGTGGTCCCTACACACAATCCCAGTACTCTGGAGGCTGAGGCAGTAGAATCAGGAGTTGAAGGCCAGCCTGGTTTACGCATCAGTACTTTGTCTCAAACAAACAAGGAAAGATAAACCACATATGAATATATTTTTATTTAATTTTCTAATTAGAGAAATAATAAAGTTGGAAATAGATGATGAGTCAACTAGTTTGATTCCTGCTTCTGTAGAGATTATAAGACAAAGATGGTGGTTGGAAGAAAGCAATTTTACTTTGTGTTGTTTTTCTTTGTGAGCATAAGTTTATAAATGTTGTCTTTACTTTTCACTGAAGTGTCTATTTTCATTAATACATACTCCTTACATTAAAGTCACACTTCTCTTAAAATAAGAAGACCACTTGTTTGGGCCTTTGAATTTAGAAAATCTTTCTATGGCCACAAACAGTCTAGACTTTACAGGGCCAACAACATACTTGCCCAGGTTCCTTTTACTATCTCATGCAATTGAAATATATGCGATCCCAGAATTCCCTATCCACATGCTCTCAGATAGAGCGTTGATGTTTATTTTTTGGAGACCAGGTCACATCTCCGCTAGGTGTAACTTCAGGCATGAGTACCGAGATGATACCTGCATGTTAGAGGTATGTGGACATCATTCATACATGCCAGCCCACTTATCTTTACTGATTTGTATGAGTCCCTTTTGCAGGGAGAAGGTGGGGTTGGAAAAACAGAAGGTTAACTGAGGGCCAGGAACCAGAGCTGGCCCTCCTCATTGACATCTACATTCTAGTGTAGAATCCTGAGAGGTTTTCAGAATTCTAAATCTGGGTTTGCTCTCTGCTCACTCTGAGGATTTGTCAAGGCAGGAAGATGGGACAGCCGTTATTTAAGGGTGTTACTTAAAGTGCAATACAAAAATGTAGGCATGTGGAATGTATTCCCATATGTTTTGCCCAGACTCCATTGACTGAGGAGTAGGCTAATGTTCTTCAAAAGTTCTATTTGTCGTGGTTGGCATATGATAGGTGCTAATGATAGATGACATTGGAAGTTGAGAATAGTCCATCATACAGAAGGTTGGAAGTATATGTGACCTTTATTGAATTTTTAAAAAAAATTTAGTTCAGGATAAATCATTTAAAAAGTCATTTTTAAATGATATAGTATCTTACTTACTGGCACAGTTTGAAGTATCCTGACTTCTTAATTTTTTCATGATAAAATCTTTTTCTTTGCAGTGATATCAGATCCCCATTTGATTGACATATTTCAGTGCCACCCACTGCATTCTTTTCAAGGGGAAGCAACAGCTCTCACTTACTGACCGGTAGTTTGTCTGTGAAGTAGTTAACGCAGTTCCCACATTTAGTCTCCACAAATATTTCATGAGATGTGTGTGTGTGTGTGTGTTTAATATTATAGATGTGAAATCATAGCATCGAGGGAGGTTAGGTGATTTCCTTATGCTCATGAACAGTTTCTTAAAAAATGAAGTTTCCTTTTACTTACTCCATAAGGTAATATCCAGTAATGTTCACGGTAAACTGCTCTGGAATTAGATGTGAATAATGCTCTGCTGTTTGTAGGAGTTCAACCTCATTGACAGAAGAGAACTTGCACCACTCCAAGAGCTGATTGAAAAACTCACCTCAAAGGACAGATAGAAGGATGAAAAGCTGTGCAAATCTTCCTCAATTGGAGCTGTGTGGAGTATATTTGGATGTTGTATTTCGTTTTTATCTAGATTGTTTCTGTTCTAGGTTTGGGGGCTTGCTTGGGTTCCCTTTTCTCTTCTGAATATATAAAATCATACTCTGCTACTAGAGGAGGCCAAAAACCATTCTCTGCTGTTGAAAAGGGCAGGTTTTGTCTTAGTGGAGTACAGTGTTTTTTATATCTTATTTTTATTAGCCTAGTTTTGGTTATTTGAGGACTTTCTATGATACTGTACGCTGGAAACAAGTAATAACTGACTGAAATGCTGATGGATTGGATACTGCGTTGTGTAAATTGTGGCCCACTTTCAAGTCCCTAAAAAAGACTTCGTGTTTTTAAGTGCCTTGATAGGCTCACTTCTGAGGTGCAGAGCACAGATACAGGACTGAACAGAGCTAGAAACAATATTGGAATTTCTATCTAGGGCACTTGCTTGTGCATGTTGTAAAGTAATCTGTTATAAAAGCCATAATTTACTCAAATTGATGATGTCCAGCTTTTACTACATTGAAAAAAACATAATTTGTAAAGTTGTGCATGTAGAATATCAATGTAAAACAACAAAAATGATTTCTTAATTATTTTTGACATAATTTGTAAAGGTGTGCATGTAGAATATCAATGTAAAACAACAAAATTCTTAATTATTTTTGATATTGACTAATATATTCTGTTCAACAGATGTTTAAAGTTCTACAAGCAGGTCTTTTTCCATCTCTTAATATCTGTGATATTGAAACGTGAGGATGTTGAAATGTGATAGTTATTGCATTTCGGCTCCTTTCTACATGTAAGTGCACTGTAAGTGTAAAACTTCAGGTTATATATAGAATTGCCATCTTCAGAAAGGATGCTGAACTGTGAGGCTTCCTAGCAATTGCCAAATGAGCCGTAAGTGCAGAGTCCCCTTGTACTTCACAGAGGAAAGGTAAATGGGAACGGTGGCCGCAGGCATTAGTTTGTTTGGGAAATTAGAGGAAGGATTAAGGTGTGGGAGTCATATTCTAGAAAGTCCTGTTTTAAAACCCTGGAATGGAACGTGTCTATTACTTATAAACAGAGTCTTGGAGACTTCCTTTTAGAAATCAGCTTCCATGAGAAGTTAAAAATGAATAGTTTTAGGTACAGACATTAAACATGGAATTTAACAACTATTTGGGGAAATTAATCACTTTTTAGCATTTCCATTCAGTGAATGGAGCTAGTATTTGCCTGTCATTTTAAATGATATACTACCTTGATTATTGGTGCAGATTGAAGCATCCTGACTTCTTAATTTTTCACTGTGAAATATTTTTTCTTTTCAGTGATTCCAAGTAATGAAAATGCTAGCTTGGTAGTTAATGACAAAGTTTAGTTGACACAACATTCTGTTCTTTTATCATTATCAATTATAAGTTCAGGATTTGGTTTTTAGAATAATTATTGAGATTTGCTCCCTTTCAGTTTTGTTCTTGAGAAATACTCCTTTTCAACTCGGAGTATTAATTTTGTCAGTGTGGATAAGTCTGTTTCCCTCAATATTTTCATATTCTCTCTCTTGTTAGAGACACATGCCTTTCTCCTAGTAAAATAGAAATGCTTTCTCTGAATTTTTATGCAAATACTTGGTAGAAAAGAGTATAAAGATTAAGTAAATTTGGTTTTGTCATTAATAAGTAGACAGTGATACAATTGAATGCCCTTGCGATTGTGATCACTAGGAACTGCCTTTTTCTCCATTTCCTTTCTGTAATGGCAGTTACTTACCAAGTACCAATAAAAAAAGGAACAAAAGAACTTGGAAAAGGTAACATGGGCATTTATTAGTGATGCTTATTTATGAACTGACAGCTAGCTGATTTTCTTAAAATTATATTTTAGTATCTAAATAGATAATGCCAATCAATATAGGTTGCTTCAGAATCCTGATGTTTGAATCCTCTCTGTACAGGAAGTGAAACACTAATTCCTTATTGAAATAGTCTTCCATAGTATATTTGACTTCATACCCTGTAACAAGGGGCTTTCATAGCAGCAGCATGTGGAGAGAGGAGTGAGAGGTTGTTTCAGGTCTTTTAAGCCTTACATATAGTACGTTGTCAAAATGGAAAACTATCCTAGAAATTAGTGCTTGGTAGAAGGACATATATTCTCACTGTATGTAGATAGGAGCTTATTTTCACTGTTCAAGAATCTCAGGTGCCTCAGTTTCAAATATTTGCTCAGTTTTGGGGAAATAAGGAAATACATGTGAATGTACATGTGAGGAAGAGTGGAAGTTCTGGGGAAAGGCCTGGTAATTGTAAGCAGGAGTAGATGGCTGTAAGTAAAAAGATATGCACCAGAACACAGAGAAAGTCAGTTCAACAAAAATTGGCTTTGAGAGTAAGATGCTCTTTTATAAAGTAAGGATCAGAGCTTGATTGTGCAGGAGAGCTTGCTTATAAGTGTTATTTGTTTTCAGATCGGTTAATTTATAAATAAGTAAGATAATTATCCCCTTTATCCCCCCAACCATTTTTATTTTATTTTTACTCTGTAGCCATGGCTAGCCTGGAACTTAATATGTAGACCAGATTGGCCGTAACCTCTAAGAGATCTGCATGCCTTAGCACCCCCACTTGCTGAGATTAATGGTTTGCTGCCTACCCCATTTTTTTATACAGTTATAAAAGTTCAAGTTGTTTTTCGTCTTTCTTTCATAAGCTTTCCCGTACAATTGAATGTAGTAAGTTATCATTATATTGTTACTCGCAGTGCTTTGGTTAAATGTGGATGTGATGAAGAAAGACTTAGGAATTATGCAGTTGTCAGAACAGTGGTGGTAAAGAGAAACTGAGGAATGACTTGCTTGCCCTTAGCAGTAGGTAGTGCTGCAGGCCTTGTTCATTTGCTGACCTGGTTCTTCCAATTTCCATAAAATGCAATTAGACTGCCCCAGACAGAAAGCGTGTGTTTTGGTGGGTGGCTGTGGAGCCCTGTGTACCTTAAAATGAAAGACTTTTAGATTGTTGCCTCTTTTTAACTGTTTTGTTAGTCATTGTAAATTCTAAATGGTTAACATAAAGTGTATTACGTAGCAGAGTATATTTTTAATGTGTATTTCAGACTGAATTACTACCTGTATTATCAGGATGGATGAAGCACTACAATCTCTTATCAGAAAATAGAAATATGGATATTTATATTTTGCATATGTAATCACTAGATTCCATTTTATGTAATGAGCATTTTCCTTGCTTATGGGGAAAAATAGCAAAACAACAGATTTCTTTTATAACTTTGTCTACACCCTCTCCGAGAGAGGTTTTGCTAACCACTGAAATGGTAGATTTTGTGAGATGCAGATTCTAAGTTGTTGAACTTTCTTTTAAAATGAATAAGTGTGTACCTTACCATCCAAGTGAGAGGTGACTGTCAGAGCAGTTCTCTTTGGAACACTGTTTATTTCAGTTATTTTTAGAACCTTGTGGGTGCTTTGAGAATTGGCTATGACTATGTAAGAAAAACCAATTTTTTATTGCACAAAACCAATTTTTGTAGAACCTATATTAACTACAGAACCAAAACAGTATGGAAAGCAAGAGACTATGTTAGGCTCTAATCTGTGGAGAAGAGGACTACAGACATTATTAACGGCATTGCAGAAGAGAAGACTAGGTTCATGAGGTCTATTTAAACACAAAATAGAATTTCAAAACCCAGAATTTTGTTTTTATTTTTTTATAATTTGCTTTATATTTTTTGCCTCCTTTTTCTTCAAAACTTTTGAGTTGTGTAGGATATTTTGATTGAGAGGATAGATGGAACAGTGGATCCAGTACTTAAACAGCAGTTTAAAGACACAAAACCTTTATTTATCTCCATTTATTTTGAACAGGCTTTTCTTTCAGTTTGACATTAATGAAAGACGAGATTGATATACAGGGAAATTGGTATGAATTTTATTAAATTTGCCAAGTTTTAGCATACATATCATTAATAGCATTTAAAATTATTTAAGTATTCAGCACAGATCATTTATAACATTAAATTCTGATTGTCTTTTGAAAATATTCCAGACCAAAAGTTTATTTTTAATTTGGAATGTGACTGCATCCTAGGAAGACATCTTATTTTGGAACTGTCTTGAGCTATTAAAGTGCATGTTAGGTGTAAGCTCAGCTCAGTCTTCAAGCATCCTTCCTAATGTACTTAGAGTGTCAGGGTTTTTGCCATAATGCTGAGAATGGACCACAGGAGCTCCTGTTCCCAGCGGGACTATATGTGAGGTGATAAATGATTGATTAGAGGTCTGTTTCTAGATCTTATAACAAAGTTCAATGTTAACAAACATGCAACAAAATTCTGAATGCAAGTAACTTGAATTTTTAAGGCTTTCTTAAGTTATTCTGTAAGAATTCATTTGGATGATATGACTGCTCTCTGTCTACCACTCATATTGTATTTATTTGTATTCTGACAAAAGAGAAAGAATACAGATTAAAATATTGGGCCCTCAGTATGGTAAGAATTCTTCCCTTCCACTCCCTCTCTTCCTTCCTCCCTCCTTTCTCTCTTGCATATAGTGCTACAGTAGAAACATGCAGTAAGCAAAATCACTGGCCTTTCCAGAGTTGTATATTCCCACTAGCGTCTGTGTCGTATGCGCACACACCTACCTGCTCACATGCACTCACGGCTGATTTTACTGTTCATCGTGGTTAGAGACTTTGCAGCACTGTTGACAGGCAGGTTTTCTCTTGTCTGGTTGACAGGTTCGTTAGGTCACCAAAGTTGCAGTTATTGGTGATGTAATGTTTCAACTTTTTAATTTTTTCTTTCATTATTATTTCTGTAGGTGGATATTTCTTTTTAGTTTTGCATAAATTATTTGTTTCTCAAACAGATGTATTGGTTGTAAAATAGATTAGTACATTTTCATTTGAGAACACTTTTCTTCTTAAATTGTCCTTCAGAAATGACTATTTTTAGGGAAAATAGTTTTTTACAGCTACTAAATTATATTTGTTATTTTTGTACATGCATAACCAGGGTGGTGAAATCACTAATATTTTAGGGAATACTTTTGTTATATTTGATTTTTTCCTATACATTTAAGTTATTACTTAAAATTATTGGTAGAAATAGTGTCATGAAGACAGCAAATATAAGGAACACTTAAAGTTGGAATAGAAATCATTTCTGAAGAGGGAAATCAGAAATACTGCCAGTGCCAAGTAATGGAAGCAGAATGGCAGCATTGGAATTGTGCAATTGCTTAAGATACGCATGGAGACATGAGTCTGTTCTTGTGAAGGGGACAGGCTCTCTAGGAAGGTAGTTAGATGGGACAAAAATGGCCTAAAGTATGAAATGCAACGTAGGCGCCATATTGTAAATTGTGCCAAGATTATGCAAAGTGTAGTTATTGATCAAAGCTTAATTGCTTCACTATTATTATTTTAAAGGAAATACTGAGTGTCAGAAAATCTGTAATATGGTTTTTTGAGCGATGTAAATAATGTGTACAGTCTTATATGTGGTGGAATGGGAGGTATTTAAATTCTAGGTTTTTTGTTTTAGAAGAAAATGTTTATAAGAAAAAAACCCTAATAAATAGTTACGTTTGGCCATCAATTCTGACTTTGTATTCCTGTTTATTTTTACAATAGGTATTTCTACACTGAACACCTTCCAAAGCAGAAGGACACAGAACGTATTAAACCTTTCACAGTTTGGTAGGCTTTACCTCTGTAATTCCACATCACTGGTAGTTACCATCTACGCACCTTACACACTAGAAAACTAAGCTGCAGTGTGCAGTCAGCACCCAGCTCTTAGGTTCAGAAGTCGGGTTTAGGGCTTAGAGGCTCTCATATGCCTGCACTTTAAAGCTTTCTTTCTGTCTCTCTCCCTTCTTTGGTTCCTTCTTTCCTTCCTTCCTTAACAAAAGCTCATGATTTTATTGTCTTCATAACCAAATTGCCTTAGAACTGGATCACTTGGCCCTTTCTCTTCTTATTGCTGCCCAGTTCAAAACACTTGCATCTCTTAATAGCCAGCATTCTCTTAGATCTGCACTTGGGCTCAACACATTCAAGTCTCAGCACAATCTTCTTTGTAGTTTTAGCTTTTTTGCAGAAAACAGGTGTAGTCTGCCCACCATAGCCACTCTGTTTCCTGTTGTAACGCCACTTCCCCTGGGCATACAAAGAATCCTTGCTCTTCTTGTACTGTGTCAGTTGTGGGGCTGGTGCTTGCCACATTTCTTGCAGAATGTCCGACAGGTTTTAGGAACGTTCACTATGGTCGTGCCAGCGATACCAGCTCAGAAAGCTAATGTTTTCTTTAGTGTTTAATATTACAGTGAAAAAAGAAACAACAGCGGGGGGGAAAAACAGTGGGAGAAAAAAAAAGAAACAACAGCGGGCCTTTCAACTGAACTAAAAATGATCTATTATAAATTATGAAATCATATTAATAAACAATATTAAAGGATAGTTTATCCTAACTGATGTTGTAAGAGAAAATGTGTATTCTCCAGTGTTATCAAAGTATTACCATTTATGTTAGGGGCATTGTGCTTAGATCTTAAGGGTGAAGATGTTTTGGTAATGGCTGTAGTTATCAGTCACTAATGGTGCACTGCCACACTACTCAGGGGACACTTAGGTGTGTGCAAGCGCACTCGTGTCAGTAGACGGAGGCCAGAGGTCAGGCTCCAGTACTGTTATATGATTCTGTGTATATGTGTGTGCCTGAGTGTACCTGTGTGCACCATGTGCACGCAGGAGCCTATGGAGGTCAGAAGAGGCATTGGAACCCCTATGGAACTTAGATAGTTGTGAGCTGCCATGTACAAGCTGGGATTCGAACCTGGATCCTCTGCAAGGGCAGCCAGTACTCTTAACCCATGAGCCATCTCTCCAGCCTCTTAATTGAAAAACAAAACAAAAACCATACATTTTTTTTCTTTTTGTTTGTTTAGTTTTTCTAGATAGGGTTTCTCTGTGTAGCTTTTCTCTGGAACTTGCTCTGTAGACCAAGCTGGGCTGAAACTCACAGAGATCTGCCTGCCTTTGCCACCTGAGTACTGGGATTAAAGGGGTGCACCACCACAGCCTGGCGAAAATATGTATTTTTCATACAGTATATTCTGATTATGGCTTCCCTTCCCTCCAACTTCTCCCCATCCACCCAAATCCTCAGCCTTTCTCTCATCAGGATACAATCAGATATCTACAAATAGTAATGAAACAAAGTAAGAAAGAAACAAACCAGAATAGGTTGAGGCAAACAAACTACCAGGAGAAAAAGAACCAAAGAAAAGGCACAAGAAATGCATATAGACCCAGAGACACACAGTAGCACACAGAAAAAGCCCGTAAGAATACAACACTGGAAACCATAAGATACACAAAGACTGGTAAGGGGAAAGAAGAAATGAACGAAAATAAATAAGATTGATGACCCAGACAGAACATTACGAGCCAAGGAGTCTCCAGAAATGCCACTGAATTTACTCTGTGTTGGCCATCTACTGCTGGGTGTGGGGTCTGTTCCTCGGAGTAACCCTGGTGAGACTCCATCGGAGGAAACTAACTTTTCATTTGCAAGCCGTTATCAACTGGAGACAACTCCTGGGCTAGAGATGGAGTCGCTGCTTCTAGCCCTAGGACCCTAACTGGCTTAGACTCATGCAGGGAGGGAATGCACATGCTGCCACACTATTTGAATTCATAACGTGTTGGTCCTGCTGTGTTTGGAAGATGTTTTTTACTTCCCGGCCCCAAGCACCCAGATCAAAGACACAAGAGGCTCCAAATATATTTACAGATACCTAGGACATATAGCTAGAGTCTTCTCTGACTAGCTCATAACTTAACCCATTTATTCTAATCTGCCACATGGCTGGTTACCTGTGCTCAGGCTTGATTCATCTGTCCTCATATCTTGCTGGCCACATCTCCCATGTATGGCTCTATCCAGAATCCTTTCTTGTCTACTGGATGTCTTACCTCCTATTTCCTGCCTAAGCTATAAGCTATTTTGTTTACTATGGACATGTGCTATATCCATGAAATACACAAGATAATTCTCTTTACAAGAAAGCCTCGTTTCCTTGGTATCCTCTATCACTTCTGGCTCTTACACTCTTTTTGCCTCCTTTTCCACAAGGTTCCCTGAGCCTCACTCGATGGGAGGCGTTTGATGGAGACATCCCATTTAAAGTTGAGTATTCATTCCACGGTCTCTCACTCTGCACTTTGTTCTTTTGGTGGTTTCTGTGTTTGTTCCCATCTTCTGCAGGAGGAAGCATCTCTGATTCTGGCCAAATGAGACACTGGCCAATGGGTACAGCAGAATGTCATTAGGAGTCATTTAATTGCTAAATTCCTTTAGCAGAACAGTATTGGATTTCCCCTAGGTCCATGGCCTATCAGGGCATCCAAGCAGAGTCAGGTATGGGCTCCATCATATGGTGTAGGCCTTAGATCCAGTCAGTCCATGGTGTCTCTCTTTAATTTCTGCTCTACGTTTTGTAAAAGTAAGTCTCTATTTCTTCACTTCTAGGTCTGTTTTTAGGACATACTTGACATTTGGTCAAATGATAGTTACAAGCTAAAAAAATAGCCCCTTAGTTTTTGTAGATAATTTGAATCTAACCTCCAGATTGGGTAATCTGTTTTACTAGGTCTTTAATCCGACTAAAAATAAACTGCATCTTTCTCTAGCCCAGGCTTCTAGATGAATGGATGTGTGTATGTATGCGGAGTACACCTGTATATAGACATAAGTATATGACGTTAAAAATTAATCACGAGTTAGGTAGACATGCAGTGTTAATCACAACCATGCTGCTGATAAACAAGTGGAGAGCTCTTTCTTGCGTGGCTTAATACCTAGTTTTCCGTCTCAGTTCCCTGGCCTGTCTTTAAACCAGTAGCCACTCCTTCCTTCCTTTCATTTCCGGCACTTCCTGTCCTTCTGGGCCGTATGGTAGGATTCGAACTGGATCATTGGTTAACCAAAGGAAGCTCAAGACCTTGAAGGACAGCTACACGTTTCCTCTGAGAGACAACTTGATGAGGCTCTAACGTTCGAATTTAGCCTGACAGGGTCCCCAGGGCTCGTTCTGCAAAGCCCGCCCCCACCATCTCTGAGCGCCGAGCTCTTCGCGCAGGCCCCTCCCCTTTCCTCGAATGAGCTCATCGCGCAAGCCCCGCCCCTCCCTCCATTTATGGCACAAGCCCCGCCTCCGCCGGCCCGCGGCTGCACGCGCAAAGCCCGCTCCTCGCTCCCAATGGAGCTCATCGCGCAAGCCCCGCCCCTGCCTTCCCACGGCTTCCCACGAAGCCCCGCCCTGCCGCTGGCCCGTCGCCCCGCCCTCTCTGGCTTCGCCTTGCAAGCCCGGGCCGCTACCTTCCGCTCCCGGCCCCCTTGCCGCCCGGGAGGAACCACTCACGGAGCAAATCCCGCAGGCGAGGCAGAGGCGTGGAGGGTGGGAGTCGTGGTCACCAGGGACGCCAGGGCGTGGCCGCCCCGCAGGCCCGCCCAGCCGCCTGCGCCTCCGCGCGCCAAAGTCAAAGTGCAGGTCCCGCCGGCGGGAGACCGACTCTGCAAGCCCGGGCTACCCGCGCCGCCGCCAGCCAGCCAGCCAGCCATGGCCACCCCGCCCAAGAGGCTCTGCCCTTCCCTCTCGACCAGCTCTGAGGGAACCCGCATCAAGAAGATCTCCATCGAGGGGAACATCGGTAAGGCGCCCCCGCTCCGCGTCCACTCTCCGCCTCCCTGCCCGCGCCGGCGCGGTGGCTGGCCTGGCCCGGCGCCAGCCGGGGCTTTGTGAGGAGCGCTCTGGGCCACTGCACCCTCTTTGTTGGGGACTTCCAAAGGGGCGCTGTCGGGGGATGCTGCTTTTCTTGAGATGTAACTTAGGTAAACGAAACCCTTTTTTAGGTGTGCTCTTTGGCTAGGTTTCGACGAGAACAGTTTCGTCATCTCCAGTCCCCTTCTGCTGCTTTTCTCCCTTCCCATTCTCTTACAAGCCCTGGCATGCTTCCTTTTAATCTCTGCAAATTTTGTTCTTCCAGAACCTGAGTGTCTGGGTCTTCTGGGTCTTGTTTGGTTTACCGGAGTGCTTTGAAGACTCACTCATGCTGTTTATTTCTGTCGTGCTTTTTATTTTGAGATATCTATTTGGTTTTTTGGTTCTATGTAGTTATGGCTTTCTTTGAACTCACTATGTAGACCAGGCTGGCCTTGAACTAAGATCTTAAGGATCCGCCTGCCTCTGCCTCTAAGGGCCGGGATTAAAAGAGTGCACCTCCACACTTGGCCCACTGTAGTACTTTAAAAAAAATTGTTAAATATTTTATTGAGTGGTATATATGACGTCTATTCCACGGTTGTGGACACTTGGGTTGGCGTTCCTAAGATAGGCATATGAGGGAAGTAGTTTTTAATGATTTTGATAGTGTGGGATTTTTAGTCCCTTTCCCACATACAGGTAAACCCTAGGTTATGGCTCAAAGACCATTAGCGTTTCTGTCCTTGACCCTACTGGAGGATAAACCACACTGTGCATGTCATTTTGCAAGGTGAACATGAACTCCCATTCTTTTACATCTCCTATTGCAGGAGACCAACTGACATTTCCTGTTTTGATACAGCTGTTATGTTTTGGGCTGCAGGTTGAGTACTGACTACTCATGTATGCAGCAGATGTTTTCATTTCTACCACATTCAAAGCACTGTCTCTTTAAGAAGGTAAGCAGATGTCAGACTTGAGCAAGAGCAGAGCTGAAACACAGGCAAGTAGGCTTGTTTTACTTGCTCCACACTTAAAACAGGTCAGTGGAAGAGATCCTCGTTTCTTTTCAAGTTCTGTGAGATGTCATGCTTATTAGTAAGAATCCTCATAGCCTCTTAGTGGGTAAAAATGACTGTATGTGTCAGGGGAAGTGGCACATGCCTTTAATCCCAGCAGAGGCAGGGGGATCTCTGTGAGTTCCAGGATAGCCTGGTCTACAAAGAGAGTTTCAGGATAGCCAGGGCTACACAGAGAAACGAAACCCTGTCTCGAAAAACTAAAAAAAGGTGACCACATGCAATGATGAGAGAAAGTTCTCAGTAAAGTCGTCTTTGAGGTAGGCTCCAAAGTACACTTCCTTGGATCAGAACCAATGGATTATCTCCCTTCTCTCAAACCCGGGGAGGCAACATACACCTAGACATTGCCTTCCTGCAGGCCGCCTGTAAACTTCCCGGACTGCGAAATGGGCCACTCCAGCTCCAGTTGACCTGCTTCCAGAGCTGTCTTTCTACAGACAAATCCAGTTGTGTTTTTTAATGCCTAAACTTCCTCCCTGACCCCCCCATTGAACTAAGAAGAGCTGGACAATAATGGCTTGCATTTACACAGTATTAGGAAAAATTCGTTACCAGCGTTCACAAGAATTGAGATTTCCCTTAAGCATCTATGTCTTTGACAAAACAACGACAACAACAAAATGAAGATTTGGCCGCATAGACTTACAGCTCTGTTGGAGGAACTGCCATTTAGATTAAGTGTGCTCTTGTCATTTGTTGTCTTTCCTACAGGGCGGTTTCATCAGCTGCCTGTTGTTCTTGTATGGTTGTTTACATCACCTTCACCTTATTTGTCAGGTCCAAATAACCTGTTACTGTAAAAAATGGTGCAGTCTGTGAAGACTGGTTTGTGATTCTTATGTTCGTCCTGAAATTTGAAGTTTGCTTGCTCATTTTTAGTTGAGTAGTTTTGTAACCTTTTTTCTCATGTTCTGTGTGAGCTATTCCCATTGGTTAGATTTATGGAGGCTTCATGGGCCCATTTCAGTGTGTTCAGAATGACGTTTGGTTTGGTGATGTTTGCTTAACATTAAGAATTCTGTTAGTTAACCATGACTTTTGGTTGTTGTTTGTGTTTTGTTTGAGACAGGGTTTCACTATGCAGTGCTGACCAGCCTGGAACTCACTGTGGAGACCAGGCTGGCCTCAGACTCACAGAATTCTACCTGCTTTAGAGTGCTTGGGATCAAATCCTTGGGCCACTACTTCTCTTCCCATGGCTTGTAAAACTATTAATAAGTGTCCAGGCTTCTTGTCTTTCACGTTCATAGAATATTAGTTTGTTAGCTCTTTTCCAGCTCTGCTTTCCCTCCAAAAAGTTGAGGAAGGAACTGGGTGGTGACTGACTATTAGGGGAACTACTACTGATGATTAATCAGCTTGAGGTAAGATTAACATTTACAATTTTAAAGTGTGACTGTGCGAGCTTTTTCTGGGTGTAGTCAATGTCAGAAGCAGGCTTACTGTGTTAGCCTTATGTGCTTTTAGACTCTCGACTAGCCTGAGATACTTTAGTGTGTTTCCTGTTCTCTCTTCTACCTAAGCCAATGAACTATGACCATTTAAATCTTTCTTCTAAATGCAGTACTGTCTGTAAACTGAAGCCTTTCCATACAAAGTTTTGGTCACCAGTGACCTCCCCACAAACTCAGTAGCTACCCAGTTTGTCTTCACATTTATTTCTTCTCTGATTTGGACGTAATGCACTTCCATGGCTTGCTTTTCACCTGCCCTGGTCTGTCAGCTTGTTGATCTCTTTGCTCTGCTCTATGAAAGAGTCCTTAAAGTTCTTCCTGACTTTAAGGGACTTTAAAGGACTTCCTTAAAGTCCTCTTGCCTTGTGTGCTTCTGCAAGTCAAAGGTAAGTTCTGTTGTGCCAACCTTAAGCCCATTTTATAAGGAAGAGGACACTTGGCAAATATATTGAAGCTATATAGTTTGTTTGTGTGTGTGTGTGAGGTAAGAGGTTGAGGAAGAAAGAACATGATTCTGGCTATCAGGTGTCTTATATAACCACACGTGGTGGCTTCTGATAGAAGGGTGTGGAGGACATTAGAAGTACTGCTACACCCTGTGATACACACTGATACTAAAATGGGGACTATAGTATGTCCTGATTACACATAAGCTACTTTTGCTTTATTTCCCTAGATATCTCAGAAACTAGTGAACGACTGGAAAAAGTAAAGCATATCTTGTCTTTTTTTTTTTTTTAAGCGTTTCATAGAGAACACAGAACCATAAAGGTGAGGCAGATTTGTACAGCTGTTACTCCTAGGAAGTGCTTTGCAAGACTTAAAATAATTTCTCTCAGCTATAGGGTTTATTAGGGCCCGATAGTCACCATCTCTTAAGCATTGGGTGTATCTTCGGGTTGATTTTATGGTTATTTCTTTTTTTAAAAAAAGATTTCTTTATTTTATGTATATGAGTGCTCTATCTTTATGTACATCTGCATGCAGGAAGAGCATCAGATCCCACTATAGATGGTTGTGAGCTACCATGTGGTTGCTGGGAATTGAACTCAGGACATCTGGAAGAACAGACAGTGCTCTTAACCTCTGAGCCATCTCTCCAGTTGTACAGTTAGTTCTTAATTGGCTTACTTTTTTTTTTTTTTCATTTTTCGTGCCAGGGTTTCTCTCTGTAGCCCTGGCTGTTCTGGAACTCACTCTGTAGACCAAGCTGGCCTCAAACTCAGAGATACACCTGCTGCTGCCTCCCAGTGGCTAAGATCAAAGATGTGCACCACCGCACCGGCTTATTGGTGCCTTTTGTTGTTGAATTGGGGTCTCTAGGCTCCTTTTTCCCTCCTTTTTTTTTTTTTTAATTGGGTATTGTTTTTTCTCTAATTGGGTATTGTTTTTGAGTGGGGAGGGAGATATGGTCTTGCTTTGTAGCCCAGGCTGCCTTAGCACTCACTATGTAGGTCGGTTTGAACTTGAACTCACAGTAATCCTGCTGCCTAAGCCTTCCAAATGCTGGGATACAGGTCTGTGTAACCACACATACAGGTCACACCTGTATTTTGTTTTGGGAGACAGTGCCTCACTGTGTAGCCCAGGTTGGCCTGGAGTTCAGAATCCTTTACCTTTCGCCTGCTGAAGGCTGGAGTTACAAGTGTGGGCCACGAACTCTTCAGACTGAGAAAGTTGAGGTAGGAAGGAAGGGAGGTTTTGAAAATACAAAAGATCAGAGGGCCTCTGAAAGGCTCTGCCCTGCAGACTATCAAAGCAGATGTTGAGACTTATGGCCAACTGTTGGGCAGAGTGCAGGGAATCGTATGAAAGTAGAGGGAAATCTGAGATCTGGAGAAGACAGGAACTCCACAAGGAGAGCAACAGAACCCGAAAATTTGAACACAGGGGTCTTTCCAGAGACTCATACTCCAACCAAATACCATGCATGGAGATAACCTAGAACCCCTGCACAGATGTAGCCCATGGCAGTTCAGTGTCCAAGTGGGTTCCATAGTAATGGGAACAGGAACTGCCTCTGACATGAACTGATTGGCCTGCTCTTTGATCACCTTCCCCCTGAGGGGGGAGCAGCCTTACCAGGCCACAGAAGATGACAATGCAGCCACTCCTGATGAGATCTGATAGACTAAGATCAGAAAGAAGGAGAGGAGGACCTCCCCTATCAGTGGACTTGGGGAAGGGAATGGGTGAAGAAGGAGGAGGAACAGTGGGGTCCGGAGGGGAGGAAATACAAAGTGAATAAAGTGTAATTAATAAAAGTTAAAAAAAAAAAAACCCACAGCCTGTGTTATGAAGAACCAACGTCAGGGACTTGTTCCAAATCTCACAACTGCCTGAAAGTTCTTTTTCTAATTGTTTGGTTAAGGAAAGCTTGGCTAGAAGTCAGTTTTTTTTTTTTTTTTTCTCTTAAAATCGCTTAACCTTGACCAGGTTTTTAATTATTTTGGTAAACTGAAAAATAATAACAAATTTGTTCTGTTGGCTAGAGACCATCTTTAAGTTGTAATTCATATAAAAGATGAAGAGAAAGGGCTTAGTGTTTCTGTATATCTGTTGCTCACTATTAAGCTTGTAAAAGCTGATGACCATTGCTTATGTTTTGCTTTTTTAACATGTTTTCTTAATTCTGTCTCTCTGTTTTACAACAGCTGCCGGGAAGTCAACCTTTGTGAATATCCTGAAACAAGTTTGTGAGGATTGGGAAGTGGTTCCCGAGCCCGTCGCCAGATGGTGCAATGTTCAGAACACTCAGGATGAATTTGAGGTAGGCAGGAAAATTTAACTGAATACAGTAGAAACTCCTTAGGGCTGGAGATGGCTCCGCAGGTAAGAGCACACGATGTTCTCCAGGACCCTGTCTGTGGTAGCTCGTAACTGTCTGCAACTCTAGTATGAGGGGTTCTGACGCCCTCTTCTGATCTCTGGGTACCCAGGACATATATGTGCACAGACAATTCAGGGAAAACACCCATACATTATTCATAAATAAATAAACCCATGCAGTATGAATGAATGAATGAATGATTCTCTAGGTTAGAGAAGCAGTGTGTAGTGTCTCTTGGACACCCCTCCTCCAACCTTTCCAACAAAACTTTGAAGTCTAGCTGTGTGTGTGTAAAAATTCACCGAGCTGTATATTTAAGCATTATGCACTGTCATATATATATATAAAATTTGCCTCATTTTTGTTTTGACTGAGTGTATCTTTGTAGTAAAATTTAATGTCTCACTTCTATTCCTTTTAACTTTGTAGGTAAGTCATCAGAGGTTTGATTAGATTTATTTCCAATTATTTTTAATATGATTCTTTGTTTATATTTTTGTTTACTGTTACATCTGGATGTCCTTTTTCAGTTTAAAAGTCTGTGAGATGCCTTAGGGGCGAAAGAGTTTCCCATGAAGCCTGACTACCTCAGTTCAGTTCCCAGAACCCGTGTCGTGGGAGGAGAGAACTGATCTTCCAGTTGGTCTTCTGACCTCCCTGTGCCATGGTGTGCCTCATAAATACACAGTAAAAGAAGTGCAGTAAAATACGAATAAAGAAACCAAACAGATCAGTTACTGCAGCTGCTTTAGCCTTATTCACGCAATAAGAGTCAGGCACGCTTGCTTGTGCCAGGGACTTGGGGCCAACCTGGACGGTTGTCTTGAGAAAGAAAGAAAAAAGAAATTCCTATTTGTTTTCTCAACACCTTTTAATATCATTATGTGTTGTAAAAGATGATTCTTTTCTCAAGTGTTCTGAATTTATTTAGCCCTGAGTCTATAAAAAAAGATGTTTTTATCCACTGCATTTCCTACAGAAGAGAATAGGATAAAATACTTTTTTTCTTTTTTCTTTTTACTTATAGATTTCTAGAATAAATAATGGATGCTTTAACAATCTTCAAAGATGACAAGTTTCTATCTCTCTCTTTTTTTTTTTTTTTTAAGTCCTATGAGCTCAGAGATTTTTCACCTTTTATGTTTTTGGGTGTCCACACTTCTCTGACAAAACAGAAGCCCCTCCATGTTGTCTTTGTCCTTTGTGCTCTTCAGGAGTTCTTGGGTAGTCTCTTGCTTAATTGCAACAGGGTGCACGAAGCCCCGCTTCCAAACTTGGAATCTGAAACAGAATACGTCTCAGAGGGAAAAGTATTTAGAAGCCATCTAGACGACATTTATGGTTGTTATTGTTTGTAAGGATTGCTGTTGTTCTTAAGTTTTTCCGCAGACTGAGCTGGGAATCCATAATGTAGAAAGTAAATGAATTCTAAATACCATTTGCAATTCCTATTTAAGAAGAAGGAATTTTAACCCAATTTCTTATTTTGTGTACTTTTTACTCAATGGTGAAAATATTGGTCCTAACAATATCACTATTGTAAGTTTGGAGCATGATTCTGTTCTGTCATATTATAAGACTGTAGCCCTGGCTACCATGGAACTCACTCTGTAGGCCAGGTTGGCCTTGAACTCACAGAGGTCCTCCTGCCTCTGTCTCCCAAGTGCTGGGAGCTTGTACTGCCCAGCTTGTAAAATGTTTTGTTTTTGTTTTTTGTTTTTTGTTTTTTTAATATGAAAACATGTACCTGTAGTAGATGTATTTTGATTTTTTTCCCGCAGGCTGGAGAAATGTGCTGACACTCTCTTGTTCTGGATAGCAGCAGTGAAATCAAAGTGGCTCAGAAAATCAGAAGTTCACCACAGTGTACTATGCTTTTTAAGCTATGATGTGTTTTCATTTCTTGATTTCAGTTTAGGATATGTTTAGGACGAAAGCCCCGTTGTAAGTGGAGGAACACCCTAAAGTTAGATCTCTAGAAAACGGGGAATGATGGGAGCTGATAAACAGCGTATGTATGTCACCTGAGAAAGGCCTATGTGACTCTGCTGTAGTGGACTGTTAGAGATCCCTTCATTTTATGTTTATGAGTGTTTTGCCTGTGTGTACGTATGTGCAGCATGTGTGTGCTTGGTGCCGGCAGAGGTCAGAAGAGGGTATCAGATTCCCTGAAAGGAGGTACAGCGAGCTACCATGTGGGTGCTGTGAACTGAACCCTCATCCTCTGCAAGAGAAGTAAGTGTGCTTAGCCAGTGAGCCGTTGTTCCAGCCCCCAGTGTAGCTGATTTAAAAATATCTGTATTTGTGTGTTTGTGGACATGGGTTAGACACAGTAGTGTGGAGGTCAGAGGACAACTTTTTGGAGTTCATGTTTTTCCACCTTTGCATGGATTCCAAGGATCAAACTGTCTGTCATCGGGCTTGAGTGGCCACACTTCCTCTGAGCTCTTGAGCCTGTAGCTGATTATTTTGAGAACAAAATATAAGTACAATAAATACTATCTTTTTCATCTTAGAAAAGAATATATAAATCTGAATGTGTTTATTTAGCCTTTAATTATTGACAATTTCTTCTGTAGATTGTCAGTCACCTGTGAGAAGGATCTAAGGATTCTTTTAGACATTAGATAATGTAGGACATTTGCTAGAAAAGAGTGAGGAGAAGGAACTTCATTGTCTTAATTTGCTAATAATTATATGTTTACTTATGAAATGTCTATATTTTTAAAAGATTTGTTTATTTTTCTCACATGTGTGTGGGTGTTTTGCCTATGTATGCCTGTACCACCTGCAGTGCCCATGACGCAAGTAGAGGGTGTTACATATTTTAGATTGGAATTACAGTTTTGATTTTTTTTTTTTTTTTGTGGTTTTGTTTTGTTTGTTTGGTTTTGGTTTTTTGAGACAGGGTTTCTTTATGTAGCCCTGGCTGTCCTGGATCTAGTTCAATAGATCAGGCTGGCCTTGAACTCACAGAGATCCCTCTGTCTCTGGGATTAAAGGCATGTGCTTCTATTGCCTGGCTTTGAATAACAGTTTTTAGTTACCATGTGGATGCTGGGAACCAAACCTGTGTTCTCTGCAAGAAAAGAGCAACTGCTCTTAACTACAGGGCTATTTTTTCCAGCAACTTTCCCCTCATTTCTCTTTCTGAACACCTTAAAAACTGAAAGGAGGTGAGCACGTGCGTAGCACTTGGGAGGCAGAGGCAGGTGGATGTCTGTGAGTTCCAGGACAGCCAGAGCTGCATATTGAGACCTTTTCTCAAGAGAACACAAAACAAAACAAAACAAAAAGGTAAAGTAACTCTTTTGGCAGTTATATTGTTTTCTCGTTTGTTTCTTCTGCCAATTTAAAATAGGAATTGACAACGTCTCAGAAAAGTGGTGGGAATGTTCTTCAAATGATGTATGAGAAACCTGAGCGGTGGTCTTTTACCTTTCAAGCATATGCCTGTCTGAGTCGGATCCGAGCTCAGCTTGCCTCTCTCAACGGCAAGCTCAAAGATGCAGAGAAGCCTGTGCTATTCTTTGAACGGTCTGTGTATAGTGACAGGTATGCAAATAGCTTCTATTTGGCTTTTGGAGTTTATAACTAGACGCTTTCTTCTTTCTCATTTCCTGGTAATCAAATTAGAGGCTGAGCTGGAGGTTTTAGATAGAAAGTGACATTTAAAAGTAACTTTAGCGTTGACATTAGGACAGGGACTGGAGAATGAGATGGTCATCTAATTCAACTTTCCAAAGAAATCCTTCCTTTCTTTCTTTCTTTCTTTCTTTCTTTCTTTCTTTCTTTCTTTCTTTCTTCCCTCCTTTCTTCCTTTCTCCCTCCTTCCTTCCTTCCTTCCTTCCTTCCTTCCTTCCTTCCTTCCTTCCTTCCTTCTTTCCTTCCTTTTTTTCTTTCCATCCCTTTAAAATCCTCATCTGTTCAGATTATATCTGGATTTATATCCTTGACTCTCAACTAGGAAAAGGAGATTAAAAATTGAATATTTCTGAAGGTGTTTTAGAATTTTCCTGTTTATACAGGAGCCTTTTCACCTTCACAGTTATTGCAGAATAGGTGGTTGGAAAGATTTTGGCCTTACGATCCCTTTCCTTTAATTGTTGACCAGTCTAAAGAAATTTGTCATTTGATACATATGCTATTAGTATTTAAGTTTGAGAACCAATATATAAACAATATACAAATATAAAATTAGAGAATCAGTAATAAACATACTTTGTATTAACATAGGTATAACCTGCTAAAAAAGTTTTAAAACAAAAATACAGTTAGAAGAATAGTCTTACATTTTAAAGTTCTTTAATGCCTGACTCAATAACAGTGGGTTTTCACTCATGCTTGTGTGTTTATGTTAATGTATATATATGTGTTTTGAGTGAAGTATAGTAGTATGTGAGGTAAGCTTGCTTCTCATAGAACTGGAAGGAGATTGGGTAACTCCAGGGCTCCTTAGCTAACGTTTTGAAAGCTACTGGCAAAGAATACATTTCCTATACATTTTGTGTGTGCTTTCCAAGATATTCGGTGATTTAGGGGTATATTTTATGGCCATGTTCTTGTTCCTGTTCTGTGTGTCTGTGTATAAAAGGATGCATCTGCTGACAAAAGATTCTCTTTCAGGTATATTTTTGCCTCTAATTTGTATGAATCTGACTGCATGAATGAAACAGAGTGGACGATATATCAAGACTGGCATGACTGGATGAATAGCCAGTTTGGCCAAAGCCTTGAACTGGATGGAATAATTTATCTTCGTGCTACTCCAGAGGTGAGACCAATAAACAGTAGTTTGTTTGTGCCATTGAAACTTTAAAGCAATATCAGAGCTCACAAGAGGGACGTAGTAATGGCAGTTTAAAACCAGCCTCCACGCTGGAGAGCTATCTCAGTGCTTAAGAGAACTGGCTACTCTTCCAGAAGATACAAACTCAATTCCCAGTTGTCACATGGTGGCTCACAAGCATCTGTGACTCCAGTTCCAGGGAATCTGATGCCCTCTTCTGGCCTCTGTGGGCACTGCATATGTGGGTTGGCCAGACATACTTGCAGCCAAACATGCATACACATAAAAACAAATAAATAAAATCAACTGTCCAGCTCCTCCCCTGGAAGCTCACAGCAGTACAGATTTTCTCAGCATACTAGGAAACTAGATGTGGCGAGTTTGGTCTTCTCCACTCTTCACCAGTCTGGTTTTATTTTTGTTCTAATTCCTAACTTACTCAGATTCTCATATTCCCTCGGAGCAAGAATAAAAAACTTGCTAACGCACCTTCTAAAACATAGGCTTAATGAAGTGGGGCTTTGCATAGGGATTTTAGCTGTTGTTGGATTTTAGGGCCAGAAGGTCTGGGGACACAATTAAAACGTAATAGATGCTTGCTTTATTAATAGCACAACTGCTGAGGTTCACTGTAAGAAACCTTTTATGGTTACTTGTGACTTTGTACAAATGGAGAGCGGCACACTTGCAAAGAGACTCAGATATCTTGTCATTTTCAGCTAAGGGAGAACCCCTGGAAATAGGCCTTGTGTTAGGTAAATTTCTCTTCTATTTATATGTTATATTACATAATGAATCCAGAAAGGTCAAGTCAGCTAGACCTGACTGGCTAGTGAGAATTTTATACCTAAATACTCTATGTCCTTTCCCCCTTTCCCTCCTCTCCTAACTTTTACCATGTCCTCGTTTTCAAAATCATGGCCCCTTACTTCTTTAATTATTATTGTTACATATATGTGTATATATAAATTAATAAAGACAGCCTGTTGAGTCCCTTCAGTTACTCCTATGAATAGAAGTTTAGGGCTGGCTGCTTGGGTTTGGATAACCTATCACCCCACTTGTCCCTGGAGATGATGGCTTCTCTCTGCCTCAGCATTTTATTGTTTGAGACAAGACCTCTGAACTGGAAGTTCGCTGGTTGGCTAGAATGCCTGGCCACCCAGCCTGGAGGATGTGCTACTTCGTCCCTTCTCCCTGATGGTGTGAGTGTGCTGGGCACTAACGTTAGGTCCTCCTGCTATGCGGTTAGCACTTTACTCACTGAGCCCCAGTCTCTCATTTATGGCATCTTTTTTGTTTGATTTTGAGGCAAGCTCTCTCTGTGTAGTCCTTATTGTCCTGGAACTCACTATGTAGACTGGGCTGGCCTCTAACTCCTAGAGGTCTGCCTGCCTCTGCCCCCCTGGCTGCTGCTATTAAAGGGTGTGTGTGTGTGTGTGCACATTTATATCTCTTAATTAAAGATTATTGAAAAAGGACTCGTAGCAGGTCGTGGCAGTTCATGTGCTGCCATAGCTCCTGGTTGTTATTTGTTCGAGGTTCCTCTTCGCTTCCTTTCTCCAGTGCCGGGGATTGATCCAGGACCTTGTACACGGTAGACAGGTGCTTCGCCACAGAGCGCAGTGTGGCGGATCTTACATCTGAGTGTCTGTGATCTCCCACAGATTGTATGAACTTTCATCTGTATGATGCTGTTAGAGAAAAATGATGTAGGGTCCCACGGTCCAGTGTGGCTATTGAAGCGTATGTACAGTTGGAAAATTCTCTTCCTTGGTGACCATATTAGCAGTGCTTCAGGGCTGGAGCCACAGTGGCTGGTGGTGGCTCTGCTCAGTAGTACAAATAGAGGACAGATGTAAAGCACCCCGTGTTCTTTTAGGTCATGGCAGTTGAGAGCTTCTGCCCAGTGACGAGCCGTTCTTACAGGAGGGAGCACAGACAGAACACAGACATAAGCATGTTTGCTTAACAGCCAATTAGGATGGATAGAATGACACGCTAAGTTATTTTCTAAAAGCAAAGTAGGTAAATATTTAACGAACTATTAACTCCCCCCACACATCCTTCTCTTGTGCTGAAATTAGTGTATTTCATGTGTGGAGACTGATTTATTTTTCAAAGTTCTGCTTAATTTAGAACTACCATCTGGCAAAAATAAGGCAATTAGAGGGAAAATTAACTATTTCAGTTTTCTGGAAGAAATAAGTACAGGTTTTTGGCTAATGTAAAGACAGCAGAAGATAACGCTTTCACAGCAGCAGACACAAATAGTTACCTGACTTTTTTCTTATTGCTTGCTTTCAGAAATGCTTAAACAGAATATATTTACGAGGAAGAAATGAAGAACAAGGCATTCCTCTCGAATATTTAGAGAAACTTCACTATAAACACGAAAGCTGGCTCCTTCATCGAACTCTGAAGTAAGACTTTCTCATGCTGCTTGCTGTCCATTGTGATATCTTTTATCTAGACATGAGCAGAAACATGTACAAATGCTTATTTTTATCCATGTGCTCGTTCATATTTCCAAGACACTTGTTTGAGATCTTGAAACTGGTTTATTCTAATCGTGTTTTTACTTAAATGGTAAAGTAAGTGTGTCTGTGTTATTAAGATACACTTAGAAATAATTTAAGGCGCTATAGTCTGATGTTATATACTGTTTTAGTTTTTATACTTCTAGTTATACATTATTAGCTTTAGTCCAAAAATATTAAATGTGAACTATCAGAGAGAATTCATAAATTTAAAATTGTTTGCTAAGATGATCATACCTCTTTCTAGTCCTGTCTCCTGGGAGGCCTGAGCTCAGGGGCCTGAGACCATCCTAGACAACATGGCCTTCCATTCTGAGTAGTGTTGAAACACTGTGTTGTCCAGCTCTATGCTGTGCCACCCAGGAATGTCCAGGAGATGAGTGGTCCTTTTGTCCAGTTCTTCTAGGTGCCTACAGGACACACTCTATCATTCGTTTCATAGCTTCCCTGTTTTGAGAGCAACCGTCACCGTCTGGCAGTGTTATCACCAGGGCCTCCCTTGCCTTGGTAGTGCTTCTGAAGTGCTAGAGTACCGAGTGACACCGGCAGCTTTATGCCAAAGAGAAGCCACGATGCGCTTTAAGTGGGAAAGGGAAAATTCTCAACTCGAGGAAAGGAAAAGGCAGTGTTAAGGTGGAAAGCGCATTGGTTTGTATGTGTATGTGTGTAAGAGAAAAACATAGTGTACATAGAGCGCGTGCCACCTGTGATTTCAGATGTCCTGGAGACCTTGGGATCTCCCCCCACCCCCCCCGCCAGGGCTAAGGGGAGCTACTGGGATATATTTTAAACCTTTGTCTTCAGTCGGATTTGGGAGGTAGAAGCCTAGTCAGTGGCATGAACCAGCTCTTGGACAGTATCTAACTGCATAGGCCCTTGAAGCTTCGAATGGCTTTTCTGTTCGTTTTCTATCTTTTGGCAGTGCTGGGAGCGGAGCCCACTGCCTTAGACATGCTGGGCAAGCGCTCTACAACTAGGCTCTACCAGTAGCTTTCTCATCACTAAGACGTGAGACCTCCTCCTCATGTTTTCTGCTTCTGAGGAATGACACACCATAACGGCTAGTTTTATGTAGTCCATACCTGAGATTGTTGTAAATCTGCATGTAAAGTGGAGACTGCCAGCTGTGTTAGCGCAGGAAAACATTAAGATAAAATGATTGGCAGTATTTTGAATGTTAAACGATGGAAGTTTCTAATATTTCCCCTTGATTTAGTGCTTTTTCGATTCTGTTCATCTTCCGAAACAGAACCAACTTCGATTATCTCCAAGAGGTGCCTGTCCTCACGTTGGATGTTAATGAAGACTTTAAAGACAAACATGAAAGTCTGGTTGAAAAGGTTGGTTTAGAAAAAAGCTAGTGTTTGTTTTGTCTTGTCTAAGACAGTTCTGTTAATTTGTGAAAACAGCTTACAGAGAGGCTTCTATAAAATTACATTGAGAGGGCTTGGCGTATAGTTTTGGGTTCAGATGTTTCTAGGCATTCATGAAACCCTGGGTTTGAGCCCCAAGATCACTCACACACACACACACACACACACAAAAGAAAAAAGGAAAATTACTTAAGAAACTAAAATCTGAAGCTGGGTTTGGTGGCACACACCTGTAATCCCCCCACTTGGGGAGGTAGAGGCAGGCAGATCACTGAGTTCGAGGCCAGCCTGGTCTACAAAGCGAGTCCAGGACAGCCAAGGCTACACAGAGAAATCCTGTCTCGAAACAACCTCCCCCAGCCAAAAAAAAGAAGAAACTTAAAATCTGTAGAAAACTTTAGACTGTTTAAGATTGAGTCCTAGTTTTGAATTCTAGCTCTGACCTGAGCTAAAATAATCTTTATATTTTATTTCCTTTTCTAGAAGGTAGGGCAATTGCAGCATTATGCTTTTTCTCATTCTTTTTTTTCTGTTTTGTCCCAATTTTTCCTTCACATATCACCAATATGTGATTAATATAAACTGCTTAGAAAACTAGTTTATCTTTTTCAAGGAATTCCTATGGAGGGTGTTTAAAGTTGTAGGTTTAAAGTTGTAGTCTTGTTCGTTTTCAGCTGACGTTTGGAAATTAGGCAGTGTTAATTTAAATCTTTGTTGGAGACCATGTCAAGGATGAATTGGCTTTATCCTAATCATTGAGTCATTATATTAACAAAGGTTAATTTAATCCTCAGATAATTGAGTTGATCATTATCTGAGTGAATAATGTTATTTATACATATATAAAGGAGAGACTTACTGATGAACATCAAGATGGTAACAGGAAGAATTGTATAATAAATATCCACATTAATTAACTTGGTGATTTCATGTCTAAAGGAAACCACATATTTGTTTAGATTTGAGAGAAACTTAGGGGCTATTTTTGTTGCTGCTGTTTGTTTTTGTTTTTGTTTTTTTTTTCATGAAATGTCTGGATGTTTACTATAATAAAATTCTGACTGTATCTAAAAAAATTGAAAACCTCAACATTTGAAACCCTTTACTGTATATGGTTAGTTTCCCTGTCATATAAAATAATACATGTGTGAAAAATCCAGTGACTTACTATTTATGATATTAAAACATAAGGTAGAATTAACTTACAGTACTCTTAAAATAAAATTAGTAGTAGATGTAACAACACCAAATACCAATTATAAAACCACTTCCTTTTTTTTTTTTTTTTTTTTTTTGGTTTTTTAAGGCAGGGTTTCTTTGTATAGCCCTGGCTGTCCTGGAACTCACTCAGTAGACCACGCTGGCCTCAAACTCAGAGATCTGCCTGCCTCTGCCTCCTGAATGTTGGGATTGAAGGCATGTGCCACTACTGCCCGGAAAAAAAAAAAAAAAATTAAAGCTTTATTTATTTGTTTTATGTAGACTTGTGTTTTGCCTGTATGTCTGTACACTAGAAGAGGGCATTGGTTCCCATGGGACTACAATAGTTCTAGATGGTTGTAAGCTGCTGTAGGAATTGAACCCAGGACCCCTGGAAGAACAGCCAGTGTTCTTAACTGCTGAGCCATCTCTCTAGTCCCTATTAAAATTTAGTTTATTTTTTAATGTGTACAAGGGTTTTTTCTGCGAGCATGTTTATGCACCACAGGTGTGCAGGGCTCCCGGATGCCAGAAGATGTCAGCTTCCTGAAACTGGAGTTTCTGGTGGTTGTGAGCTGTCATGTGGGTGCTGGGAATCAACCTGGGTCTGCTGTAAGAGCAGCCAGTGCTCCTGAGCACCGAGTCATCTCTCCAGCACCACATTTCTTAACTTTAAAGAAACACTTTCCTTTCTGAGACCTGGAATCATTCCACATTATTCTTTTCAAAATTAATAATCCTGGAATTTGGGGCAGTATTTTTTTTTTTTTTTAGATTTATTTAATGTTTATGTTTATGAGTACTCTATCTGCATGTACACCTGCATGCCAGAAGAGGGCACCAGATCACATTACAGATGTTTGTGAGCCACCATGTAGTTGCTAGGAATTGAACTCAGGACTTGTGGAAGAGCAGATCTCTGAACCACTGAGCCATCTCTCCAGCCCTTGGGGGAGTATTTGTACAAGGCACCGAGCTTTATCTTCTGAGGAGAACTTTGTAGTTTAGAGTGGAGATTGCAAGTCTTGCACTGTAGTCTTCATTTGTTGGTAGGTTTATTCAGAACTTACATGGCCTTGCCTATACACGAACATTCCAGAAATTTATGCCTTGGCACTAGAGTGATGGCCCAGCAGTTAAGAGCACTAACTAGCTTATCTTCAGAGGAGTCCGATTCCCAGCACCTATATGGCGACATACAATTGGCTGAAACTCTAGTTTCAGGGACTTTGACATCCTCTTTTGGCTTCTCCTGGCACCAGGCATGCAGACAGAATATTCTCACATAAAAATATTAAATAAAAAGAAATTTATGCCTTAATGCTGAATATTTATATGTTTGAATTGCAGGGGTGTTTAATATCTCATAAATAACAGTATTAAAGCTATCCATATCATTGATCAGTGTTATTTATTTAAATGTACATGTGTATATAAACATAGAGATCGCAAAACTAGTGTTACAGGTCTTTTAGAATTGCATCAATCCTTTTTAATCGTATCCGCTTAAATGTAAATTAATAATTTTAGGCTGTTCATCCTGCTACTGAAATACTTAGTCTTTGTTTTGAAAATAAACTGCTGTGGCATTGTGATAGCTATTTATAAAGTTGGGGTGTTCTGCTCGGTGCTCTTAAATGAATATGAGCATTAGATATCAGATTAATTGAAGGAATTGTATTAATTTATTTTTCTTCCTTCAGGTCAAAGAATTTTTGTGTACTCTGTGATTGCACAGGAGACTGCCAGCAACAAAGTGTTTCCAGATACTTGAGTTTTGTGTGTCCTCATAGCTTAATATTCATACAAAAATCTTGACAAGTTCAAGTTTTTAAACCATTTTTGTTTTAAGGAAAAAAACCCTTTCTTTATATATATATTTTATTTAATGTTTCAGAACCTTCTGTAAAACTGCTACTTCCTCCACTTCTGTTCAACAGTTTTAAATCAGAGGTGTTTATCTCTCCCAACAGGAGGTCTGGGGATACATGACTAGAGTCAGGAAAGTGAATGTCTAAACTATTGTAAAAGGCCCTGCCTTATTCTGCCTTCTCAGTTGTTACCCTGCGTGGGTTAACGTGGTTTCATTGTGCCTCTGGCTTTACTGGTACCAGTTTCTTAAGTGGATACCCTGCTGTTAAGTGTCAAGGGCATGTGTATTCTGGACATCAGTACACCTGTCACAGGCTGAGAAGGGAGTTTGGGGAGTCCCTTCAGGGGTGCTAGAGATGGAAGCCAGGCCCTTTCATGCTAGGGAAGCTCTCTGCAGTACCTGTCCCCAGCCCCGGAGGTTTAGTTTTCATCAGGTGCCCCTCCCTCCAGTCCACCTAATGTTGGAGGTAAGGCCGCGTCAGCATCACCGCAGGATGTTCTTAGTGTGTCTGTGGGCCTCCGTACAGGAGGAGGTTAAAGTCGGTTCCCAGCCTGGTAACAGTACAGCTGGTTTATGCATCACCTGATCTTTACCTGTTTCTTCATCTGTGACGAGTACTTTGTTTACCTGAAATTTTGGACTAGAAGAAATCTCTATATTTAAGAGGTAGCTAAGAAGTGTATTATGTACAAGACTTCATTAAGGTAGCCACTGCTCTTCTCAGACTACAGTTAAAATGCTTCTTTAAATTATGATTTTTCTTTTTTCATTTTTTTTTCTTTTTTTCAAGACAGGGTCTCTGCATAGCCCTGGCTGTCCTGGATCTCACTGTGTAGACCAGGCTGGCCTGGCCTTGAACTCACAGAGATCCACCCACCTCTGCCTCACTTCTCACACTCGGTGGAAGCATCCCCATCCTGAACTCTGATTTCTTTGAAATCCTTTGAGGTGCGAGTGCAGTTTTTTTTTATGTAAAATGATGATAGAACATGACAAGGTTTTCCATTCCCCCTTACCCCCAGCCCTGTATTAATAATGAGTAGTCTCTCTTTAGCTTTATCCGTGGTGAGACATTGTGATAAACCAAGCCAAGGGGGAACATTTTAGCTTTTCGGTCTGTTCAGTGCACATCTCCCCAGCTGCTGAACATGTCTGCTTTCTCCCTGGAATTATCAGGCAGTTTGCTAACTTAAGATTGAAGGTCACACATTTCAGCTGTAAAAGGGCCACGATCATGCTTTGCCTCCTGGTTTGCTTTGCTTTGTAGGATTTTCCTTAATTTTTTTGTACTCACAGAGAAATTATTGATGAAGCAATTTTGCTTTATGTTATAGTGTCTTGTGGAAATGTTACAATTTTTGTTGAACTAGGAACTAAAATTAACAAATACAGGGAGCCTTAACACTCCCATTAATAATGCACATGTCTCTAAACTACTTTCATGTTTAGCTGTAAAAATTTGCTTGGATTTATCCTAGGCCTATATATAATTAAATAAGTACTTTTTTTATTGCTTTTTTTTTTCCCCACTGTAGTTAAGTTAAAATGTGTGTTGTTTTTACCGAGTAATTAACCTTTCTATTTCACATTAGGAAAAATGTATAATTTCTTGAAAAGAACGCATTTATCTTGAAGCCATAATTTTCCTTTCTAAAATGTTATCTTTTACTTTGGGCTTCTTATTCAGAGATGTTAATTTACTGTTAACAGCTATAGTAGCACTGATCTTTGAAATGGGGACTCAAGTCTGTAATAACCATAAATAAATTGTCTTGTGTTATATCTGACTTTTTATTTTTGTTTGAAATAAAGTTGCCCACTGAAATATTTGTCAATAAATGAATTAAAATTTCTTGGGCTATAGGGGGAGAGTTTGAATTTTCTTAACAAGAAATCATCTGGTTATTTTCTAGGAATTTTATGGCTTTGCACTTTCCATTTGGATCCATTTCGTGAAACTTTAGGTTTGTATGTGGATGTGTGTGTGTGTGTGTGTGTGTGCGCGTGTGTGTGTGTGTGTGCGTGTGTGTGTGTGTGCCTGTATGCCTGCTCCAGCATTGTCTCTGTTTCCTTGTATTGGCTTCCGCTTTGTTTTCTAAGATCAAATGATTATCTTTATCCAAACCTTTTCCTGGGCTCTTTATTCTGTTTGGTTGGTGTATTTATTTTTTGTCAATACTGTTTTGATTATTTATTGTGGTTTTATAGTAATTCAGTTAACTAGTGTCAGCCCTCCTATTTGTCTGTTTACAAGGCTTTGCCTTCCAGCCGGGCTGTCCTGGAACTCATAGTCCTGGGCCAGTGTCCTCAGTGCCGGGTTATAGCTGGGTTTAGTTTCTTCCTTTTAGTTTTGCGTTGGGCATTTGCCTCCCTGTGAAACATTAGACTTGGTTTGTCAATAGCCACAAAAGAACATGCTGTCAGTATTAATTGGCATTTTGTTTGGTCTGTAGAACAAGTTGGGGAGCTCTGACAACTCTGGGGTTCTTGGTTGTTGTTTTACTGTTGGTGAGCATGGATATTATTTATTTAGTTCACTGACACCTTTCTTCAAAGTTGTATTGTTTTCTTCATGCAGACCTTGTATTTATGTTACTCTTAAGTGGTAATGCATTTTGTTGTATTTACTTTACATTCCGCAAGATTGTTGTATTACTTATTCTAGATTTTTGTTGTTTCTGTTATTTTTTTTTTCAAAAATATTTATTCTTTATTTTATTTTATGTGCATTGGCATTTTGCCTGTGTGTATCTATGTGAGGGTATCGGGTCCCTTGGGACTGGAGTTACAGACAGTTGTTAGCTACCATATGGATGCTGGGAATGTGACTGTGGGTCCTCTGGAAGAGCAGCTACTGTTCTTAGCCTCTGAGCCTTCTCTCCAGCCCCTGTTTCTGTTAGTTTTCAACATGAAGGATCTTGCCAGCTGTGGACAGACTCTATCATTTTTTTCCAATGACGATACCTTTTCTTTTTCTTGTTTTATTACATTACGTAGCACTTTGGGTGTGATGGTGGAAACAAGCCTTGGTACAAGGAGATTGCTGAGCCTTTTTCCTGATCTTACCAGGGAAGCGTTAGTTTCTTGCTATTAATGTAATATTAACTTGCAGCTTTAACAAAAAAGGAAGGAAATTCATCTGTGATAGCCTGTATAACCCTGAAGGACACTCCGCTAAGTAAAATAATTTAGTTAAAGAAGGATAAATACCATGTGATCTCCTTCATACAGAATCTAAAGCATTATCTGGATAATGTTCTAGACAAAGGGTACAAAATTTGGTTAGGAGGAACAAGTTTTGTGAGACGTGTCACAACGTGGTGACGAGAGTTAACGTAGTCTTAAAAAAAACTTATTTTCTCATAAATTACATCTGACCAGAGTTTCCCCTCCCTCTATCTGCTGGCTATTTCCTGAACCCCCCTTTTAATTTTAATTGTATAATTGTATATATTTAATTATATATTTTAATTACATATATTTGTTTTTAAAGTGTATGTGTGTGAGTGTGTGTTCCTAAATGTGTATTGGTGTTCCATGTGCATGTAGGTTTTTGAGAAGACCAGAAGAGGGCATCTGAACTCCTGGAACTGGAGTTACAGGCAGTTGTGAGCTGCCAGATTGGATGCTGGGAGTTGAACATGGGTCCAGGGAACTGAACTAGGTCCTCTGGAAGAGCAACAGGTGCTCAAAATTGCTGAGCCATTTCTCCAGCCCCAAAAATGTACTTTTAAATACTAAGTAAATGGTGTTTTCAACCACCAAATTGATGTTTGAGGTGATAAGAATATATAATGATAACAAATTACACTTCAGGAGTAAGTATATATATGTGTATATATATGTTTATACATACATATATATATATATATGTATATATAATACTTAAACTTCAGTAGTTTCCTCCCCAGTGCTGCTATTATACACCTTGGTGTTTGTTTGGTTTTAGCTGGGGGTTCTAAGGATCAGAATAATGTCCTCCAGGCAAGGATAGGACTTTACTGACTGAGTTATCACCTTAACTTGATGGCTCATCTAGGTTGTCAGCCTAATATACTAGGGCATTGGTAAAGGGCACTTCTGGGTGTGCCTCTGAGGATATTTACAGAGAGAATTATAATTTTTAAAAAGTTTATTATTGTTGTTACTGTTTTTTTAAGACAGGATTTCTCTTTGTAGCTCTGGCGGTTCTGGAACTCAGTATGTAAACCAGGCTGGCCTTGAACTCACAGAGGTCTGCCTACTTCTGCCTGCCAAGTACTGAGATTAAAGGTGTATGCCACCAACCACCGGGTTAAAGATTTATTTTAAACTATGTGTATCTATAAAAGTTTTGAGTGTGGGTATTTAGTAAACACCATTATTAAGAATGTGGATAAGCCAGGCGTGCTGGCACACACCTGTAATCCCAGTAGCTGGGGAGGCAGAGACAGGCAAATCTACAAAGCGAGTCCAGGACAGAACCCACTGAAAATGAGATGTGCCAATAAAGAATTAAAAAAAAATAAAAAATAAAAAAAAAATACCGTGCTTGTATGTTCTGGTTCCTGATTTTTGTTTTTAATGGGTTTTCTCTCTGTGTGTGCATGTGCTTCTTGTGCTTCTTTGTTGTTTGGCTCTGCCCTCCGCCATTTGTTTCGTTCTGTTCTTGCTTCCTTTTTTTAGTTACCTATTTGTTTTCTAAAGAGAAAGAAGGTGTGGAGCTGGGTGGGTAGAGGATATGGGGAGGATCTGGGAAGAGATGAGGGAGGGAAAGCCCATGATCAGAAAATATTGTATGAAAGAAAATTTACTTTCCGTAAAAAGAAAGAAATGCCACCAATACAGAAAATCATCAAATTTACAAGATACATAGAAAAAAGGTACTTGAAGAAAATCCGAATGAGACGTAAATTTATATGGCAAGTGTTGGAACAGCACCTATTAAAAAAAACAGAACAACAACAAAACCACTGCCAGACATCAAAAGGATATTTAGTCCTTAGTGTAATGGGGTGATTTAATACCAAGAATAATTTTGCATTACTGGAGCACAGAAGACTTCAAACAGCCAAGGGAACCCAAGTAAAACCATATTGGAACCAAAATAAGATGTAATGAAAACGCGTCAGGATATCGGCACAGGTGGATTATTTTAGATAAGACTTCATAGAAAAAACAAGAATTGAAACCTGGAGCGGGTCTCTGTGCTCTCTGCCTGCTGCTTGTGGTTTGAAACGTGAGCTCCCAAGAAAGTCCTGATGTCATACTTTTTGCTTTGAATCATGGATTCTAATCCTCTAGAACTGTAAGCCCAATTAAATGTTTTATTTATTAAAGATTTATTTTAAAACCTTGTATGCCTGCAGTTCTGTGGGTGTGCACAAGCATGCAGTTGCCTGAGGAGGCCAGAAGAGGGCAGCAGATTCCTGGAGCTGGAGTTACGGATAGTTGTAAACCGCCTGCTTCCTTGAGGGTGTTGATAACGCAACGGCGGTCCTCTACTTGAGCTGTGTGTGTTCTTAGTGTTGGGCCATTTCTCCAGGCCCTCCTGAGGAGGTTATTTAAGAGGAGAAAGCTCTGTCTTGGGTGTGGGCAGCACCATCTCATTTCCTATGGCTTTGAATGGAATAAAAGAGAAGGAGGCCCTCTAATGCAGGATTTTCTCAGCTCCTGCCTTCCAGGATGGAACTCTTGTGTCTACCATGCCCTCATTCTCAGCCAACGGGCTGAAAATACAAGTCAAAGGAAAATCTTGAGTTGTTTTGCTCAAGTAGTTTGTCATGGAGACCAGGCCTGTCTAACACAGATGAGGGCTCAGGGTAGCCCATGCTGGCTGGAACCATTTTGTACTGGCTGTCTTGGTGATGCGTGGATTGTAGTCATGCCCTACCATGTCCAACTCTTGTTATCTGTTATTTTTAAGCAAGGCAGATAGATATTTTTGCATTTCTTTTTAGAAGATAGATTAAAATAAAAGTAACTCCCAATGCCTATACACTTATATTTGTTTTTCTTTTTTTAAGTAACTCTTTCTGTAAAATAAACTATTAATCTTTTCTTGGTTAAAAGATTACTATGATAGTGAATCCACTCTTCCTGGCGAGATAAAGGGGACACCTGGGTAAAACGTCACACAATCGGGACTGAAAGGAAAGTAAACCTTTTGCTAATGTGTGTTTTTTCCTTGCTGTCTTGTAGTTTTTATTTCGTTTTTCTCCTGGTTAGCTTCAGCTGTGAACCTGACACCGCCAGAGTAATCTGAGGAGGTCTCAGGTAGCTTTGCCTTGACCTGCTTGGCCTGTGGGCCATTTTCCTGCTTGCCAATTGATGTAGAAGGGTTCAGGCCACGGTGGGCGGTGCTACCACTGGGTAGGAAGCCCGGAAGCAGCAGAACAGAGTTCCTGCCTCAGTGGTTTGTAACCTGGAAGTGTACTCCAACCAAAACCCCTTTTCTCCTCAGGTTGCTTTTGGTCATGGTGTTCATTACAGCAGCAGAAAGCAAACCGGGACAGCTGAACAAACCGGTCATGATAAGGAAGAGAAGGGAGACATTTCTAAGTTAGCCCTAAATAATATTTACCAAAGAAAGTTAATCTAGACAATTAGAAGTAGAACAGTGGCGTCTACTGTAAATCCAACCACATCCTTTCAAATCAGTGCTACACATTCTCAGGTGTGTGATGCAGTAAATGCCCAGACTACATTTGTATATGCTTGGTATCCTGGGCAGTCTTGTTTAGATTCAGAGGCCAAAACTCGTGATTTCTGTATTGGAAAGATAATGTTTTTATATTAAAATTTAGTTACTAGCACAATTTCTTGACGTTTAAACGAAAGATACCCTGTGCCTAACTTAAACTGAAAGTTTAGT